AACAACTCTCAGTCCTCAACTATAACACTAAAGCAGAAGCAGTGCAGAAATGGGTAGCTAACACAACTCTTTTTCAACTTCTAGGTTAATTATTTAAAAACCTGCCTTCTGGGCTGGCACGGTGCCACACAGCTTTAATCCCAGCACTCGAGAGGCAGAGGCAGGCAGGTCTTAGTCTATGTAGGACAGCCAGGGCTATGTAGAGAGACTCTTTGTCTTAAAAAAAAAAAAAAGGAGGAGGAGGAAAAGAAGAAAGAACAAAGCTAGTGATAAACTGGAACATTATACTGAAGAACATTACGCTTTGTTGTTCTCTTAAGTGTTGGTTTTGAAAGAGGCTGTGTGTGCATTTAAGAACGGAGTAAAGATGCACACTAGTGTGTTAAGGGAGAAGACTTCTGAGCTGCATGAGTAGCAAGCAGCAGACATACACCTAAAAATGCAAATTTCATATTTAGCAACTGCACACCAGTATGGGAACTTCTAATACTTGTCATGTGAGATTTTTACACACGAGTATTTAACCTGTTTGCATCCTAAACTAGCAGCGGCAATGCTTTGCTAAAGCTGGTAAAATGGAACCAAATCGCCTCTTGAATGGATTTGGTCCCCTTCAACCAGCTGTAGCTATGCATTGATTACCACAGGACACCCAGCATTTCAGCTGTGAAAATGAATTACATGTCAACTAATCTCAACTTGCTGAATTCATCCAGACTGTAATTAAAAGCAAATAACTAGCAACTGTCACTTTTATTCGGAAGCACTAAAGTGGTTAAAGATGTTTACTAAAAGCTTTTATGAAAAATGTGTGATAAAAAGGATTTCAAATAAAGTTATTTATTGTGGTCTTTGGTATTAACTTTTCATTTTAATTAATAAAAATTTAAAACTATTATAAAAGCATTGCAGATTTTAAAAATCACATTATTAAATTTCATATTCTTCTGAAAACGACAGTAAAATGCCTACTGTGCTTCCTAATGAAAATATGTTATTTCTATCATTCTTAAAAAGTACTGAATGTGTGTGTGTCTGTGTGTGGGCACGTGTACAGGACTGCAAGTACCCATGGAGGGCAGAGGCGCTGCATCCCCTGGAGCTACAGACAGATGTACTCACAGACACTGAACGCACATCTTCTTCTAAAGGCAGTATGTGCTTTGAGCCATTTCTCCAGCACTTGATATGTGCATTTTAAATTCAGAAAACTATAATAATATTTAGCACTCCAGAAATGCAGTCATTATCCTCAACAGGACTAGCCTTCAATTCCACTATTTAACTGAGTTTTAGCATAATGCTGCAGAATGCTGTCTCAGGAACAGACTTTAACAATAAATACCAAATTCTTCTGACCCTGAACCTGAAGCAAAAATTTTTAATGTTCAAAACAGAAAGAAAATCCTAAAGCATCACTATTTATTACTAATGACGATTTTCAACTCTTCACACTTGCCAACTGACAATCCTCACTGACACACATGCCACTGGCCTCCTGTCTTTGTCCTTCAAAGTAACTTTCCTTACAAGTCTCTAAGTGACAAGAAACTGAAGGAGACAGAAACAGAGACCAGTATCCACCCAATTTTCTCGGTAACTGTAACAGAACTGTAGCTGGCTTGATGCTGCTCAAGAAGCAAACACACTGGCCTGCAGGCAAGCACCGAGTAATCACAGACACATGCTCATCCAAATATAGCTGGCTTTCACTGTATCGGCACAAACAAATTTTTATCTTGATTTACAGCTGAAATTTTACCCAATAGAGATAAAGTAACAGGACTAAACTATCGGAGAAACACCAAATGACTGGCTGGAGATGTAGCTGAAGGGTACCTCACATATACAACCTCCATTACCCCAATACAAAACAAATACACACCAAGTATCAGAAAGCAAGACCAGTGATATTCTGGGTTAAAATTCTTCAATCTACAGATCAGTTCTGAAATGTACAATCTATTGATCTGCCCCTTCAAGTCCAGGTCTCAAAGCATATCTTCCATGAACGTTAAGGACCCACACTTATTTTCAAGTCCAAGATAATAAAAGTGTTCCTTCAGAAAAGCACAGACAAATTATCAGCCCTACAGTGTTGCTGCTGCACTGCTAAAAAATTGCTAAAATTAACCAAAAGCAAAGCTAGGGAGTGTACTCAATTTCCACATACATACATACAAGTGCATATGCAAATTTGAGAAACATTTTCAATTATAAAAAGTGAAAATGATGACAAGCAAATACTTGTCCTGAGACTGGCTTATACAAAGTTGGTAAAAACATTAATGGGGAGGAAAGTACAAATGTTCTAAAAAGAAAGAAAGAAAAAAAAAAAAAAAAACCAACCCTCAAAACACCCAAGAATTATACTAACTAAAGAGCTATTCCCTAGTTACAATTAAAGTGGAACAGAAGTCCAACATACAGTCAATCACAGTAAGGAGCTGCAGTCAGGCACAAAACAAGATCACAAGACCAGGCTGAGACAGTAAATATGGATGGCAGACACATTAACAAATAAGACTAGAAAACGCTCAAAGAAAAGGAAGTATCAGCACATTTGTTAGTATTATTCTTAGCATTTGGAAATAATAATGTGCCACATCGGCTTTTCTAAAGAAAGAATAAAGGTTCAAAGTCTGAAAAAACTTAACTTTAAAGTTAACTGTAAAATACCTGTTATGAAAAAAATCTCAAAACATCCCAACATGCTTTTATAATTGATACATATGTTTATATAAGCATTTACAGTCTTCAGATAAAATTTGTACATGACACCCAACAGTTACGACTGCCCAAAATATTTTAAAGAAAAAGGAATAAAGGAGCCAGCTAGCTTTAACCAAAGCCATCCTGTTATACAATTAACGCATTTTCCTTTCTTTTCAGAGTATTTATCTGTGTGAAAAGGTGGGGGGTGTGCTCTACAAACATGTAGAGGTCAGGGGACACCATGCGGAAGTCAGTTTTCTCCTTCCATGACTGGGTCCTGGGGAACTGAACTCATGTCATCAGGCAGCAAAAGCACCTTTACCCCTGCCTCATCTCTCCAGCCTGTTTCTTTCTTTTCATAATGTCACCTAATACGAATTATCTGGCTGGCGGCATCACTGTTAAGAATCACGGAAACTGAAGAAAGAAGCAAAGCACTGCTCCTCAGTGTGCTTGGCTGACTGACGGCACTATGCTCACGCTCATGGAAACAAACAAGTCAAGACTTAAGACACCTGTTTTCTAAACCATTCAGATTTCTAGTCTATCTTAAATGTTATTATCTAATATTATAGCCTCAAAACTCTGAAGTGGTTGCTACACCAGCAGTTCTCCTACAGACTTCACCCTGTAGTTAATCAGTCTTTTGAAATCTGGCAGCGCCTCCACTGTGCAGACTAATCTGAGCATCTGCTGTGTTCAGATACATGGAGGACATGCACATGAATGTGGACAGCCACAGTCCTGAGGGAAAGAAATACGAAAATGCAGAGTCGGCACACAGCACTATGCAGGCCAGGCACATGAGTGACACACAGCACGCAGGACACAACTTGAGGGGAGGGGAGACTGCTGCAAGTGGGAAGAGGGGGGGAAGGAGGCTAAAATAACATCACCAGGAAAGAAAATGCCTGAGCCTGGAGGAAGAGAGCAGGGGCCTCCTGTAGAAGGAAAGTAGTGCAACAATGTAGCTGAAGGGAAAGACAGGCAGAAATAGTTAATGAGTGGGAGATAGAGTGAGAGAGGAGGGCTCTGGACATTTGGCCCACCATGGTAGATGGTGGCCTATAATCCCAGCACTCAGGAGACTGAGGCAGGAAGATGACCGTTCCAAGCCCACTTGAGCTATACAATGAAACTGTCTTGAAAAAGAAATGGGTTGGATGCAAGGCAAGGCATACCTCATTCTCACAAACTTCATCTATAAAATGAGGCTGTAACACCCAACCAAAAGCTGTTCACAGGGTCACGACCACAGCTTGCCAGCACAGTGGTCCCCTCGAAGCTACGTGGCCTAAACACAGTGCAAGTAAAACATCAAACTGACTTTAAATTTTGGTTTTTGAAAGAACTGCGTGGGTGCATGTAATGTACTTGGCAGACGCAGCATGTGGTAAGTGTTCTCATCACTGCCATCACCTGTTTTAAGGGCACAGGAACTACTGTCTCCTTCACAACGCAAATGTAGAAAGGGCTCAAATACTTGTAATCCGAAAAAATTCGGTGTCTAACAGACAATTCACCCCAAACAGCAATCCCAGTAAAATCATGTTGCTTTCTGTGACTATCCTCAAGTGGTCATCCTAAGAAGCTTTAAAAACGGCAAAAAGAAAAAAGAAAAGAAAAATATGCTGAAAAACATATTAATGAGGGATGAACAGGTAAAAAATTTTCAAACAATAAAAAAAAATTAAGAAATTTCAAGGAATAAGAATTCATGATTAATAAAATTACCAAACATTTTTCTTAGTCAAAATATTACAGGGTTTTACTTAACCATAAAGAAATGTAGGTTAAACTGTTCCAAAGGGAAGTTTATAGAAACCTCATCATTTGCATTTGTTTCCAAAGGCAGCCTCTCTCAAATTTTAATCAGCCAATCCTTTTTATCTGACAGAACACCCACTACTAAAACATAATTAGGGTTCTTTGATGTTACATCCAAGTAACCCAGTATTAATAATGATCACCAACACTTAACATCGTGTAAGGGATAATGAGAGATTAGAAGACACCTTGAGAATGATGTTGAAGAAGCAGAAAATCATATAGTGCATTTAATTAAAATCTTCAGATATTTTGTATCTAACATTCAGTAGACATGTAACCATTTTATAATACTTAGAGTAACACGTACCTGTGAATAAGGGCGTATTTTGTACAGAGCTGTATCATTTAAGATGCTGAAAACAGCTGAATCTGTCCTCGTCCCACCAGGAAAAGACTCCCACCACTACCAGGAGGACATGCTCACAGGGCACTAAAATAGTCAAGCACACTCTTACCTGGGGTTCCCTCTCAGTGCAGCATGGTGCAGGGCATTGAAGCCGTTGTTGTTCGTAATGGTCACATCTGCTCCCGCCTCCAGAAGAACTGCCAGGATGTCATCCCGTTTCTTACTTATGGCATCATGAAGAGGAGTATCACCTTCAGAATCCTTTTTTTTTTTTTTCAAGTTTAAAGAGACACCATTAGTTCTCCTTCCACTGATCAACAGGAAGACTTTCACAGAACTACTAAACAAAGAAGCAGGCTCTCTAAGGGGCAAACAATGGTCGGCCAGTCAGCACTCAAGCTCAGGGTTCTTGTTGGTTTGTGTTTGAGATGGACGTGAAGGTGGTGGTGGTGGTTGTCTTTAGAGACAGTTATCACACTGCAGCCTGAGCTAACCTTTAACTTATTCTATATAGTTGAGGATGGCTTTAAACTCCCATCCTCCTGCCTCCACCTTCTGACTGCTGGGATTACAGGCATGTACTAACACCCATGTCCCTCATGTGGCTTGCTTTCTGGTACCCATAATAGCTGTTCTAAAGCACAAGCCTCAATTATGCCTCATCTACCACAATCCCCTACATGAAACTCTGCCTCACACTTCAGACAGAAAGGCTAGTGGATCTAAGTTCCTTCTCCTTCAAAACATCAGCACCTCAGTTCTTCCTCCATTCTCCAATTCTGCACGTACTTATAAAACTACAGCTTAGTTCAAAAAAATTCCTTCCTGACAGCAATGTGCTGAACAGCACCTGCTACTCTCTTCTGAAGTTGCTGCTCCTGGGACTCCTGGTGTTCAGACACTTCCGAAGACGTAGGCATTCATCTGTGCTGAGAATCATCCATACAGAAGCTATTTAAGTTCATAATGATTACTCCCATTGTCATCTAATTATTACTGAGTTTTCAATTTAAAGAAAGTAGCTTTACATAATCATATGTTTCAAGGACCATTTTTATTTGAAAACAATACAGTATTTCAAGTCTATTTTAGTAAAGATCAAGATAGAAAAAAAGTTAGAAAGAAATCCAAACACTGACATGATTATGTACTATTTTATTTTGCTATGAAATGAAGTATCCATTCTAAATTTTAACTTTATATGTATGCAAAAAAACCATGCTTAATATATAAAATGAGCACATCATGGACACTGACCGTGTTTCTCATATGTATGGTTTAAGTTCAGCTAGTTGCTAAACTAGCTTAGAAAAAAAAAAGAGCGCTTTGGGGGGGAATTTTTTGCTTCAAAAATCAGGCCATTTTCCTTCTTACTCTAAATCAAAACAATGTATTTTCCAAAACATAATTAAATCAAGAACGTAGAAATGAAGCTACAATAAAAATACTGAATAGCTGTGAGCTATTTTATATCAGCCTGTCTTGGATATCCTTCGCAGTAACAAATCTGCCACAGAACGTGGGTCATCACTTTTAACAGAGTCCTACTAATGTCTGCCCAGTATATCCTTTCAAGCCTTACCTGGAGACTGGGGTGACAACCAAAGTCCAGCAGAGTCTTCACAACCTGAAGATGGCCTTTATTGACGGCGATGTGCAGAGGCGTCTGCCTGCGCTTATTACGAGCATTCAGGTCAGCACTGCCTCGGTGCAGGACTTCAATGACAGCACCCTCATCCCCAAAGGCTGCATGGTGAACAGCTCGATCTCCATCTTTATCCTGAACATCAGCATGAAAGTTCAATCAGGGAAGAGTGAAGAAAGAAAATACAAAGCTATAAAATACCATGAACCAAATTAAGTTCAGGAAAGTTGTGGAAAATAAATATTAAAAACAATGAAACCAATAAACCAGCTCTAAATTGACATGAACAATGACAAATGTTAAAAGTAGATTGGTTCCATTACAGCATATTAAACTGAGCCAATACTAGGAGTATGTTACTAAAATTGTAGGGCTAGGGAGCAAACAGAGGGCCTCAGACAAGTGAGGCATGTGCTCTAGAACCATCAATCTTTTAGACAGAATCTCACTGTGTAGCCTCAGCTGGCCTTGAACCCTCCTGCCTCAGTCTCCCAAGTCCTGCTATTTCCAGCATGAACAACTAAACAGGCTCAAAACTTTTAAGTTACATGAAAACTACAAACAAAACAATGTAAAACAATATGTTCTTAATTACCTTTATGTAGGAAATTGACATTACATTAGTCAGAGTTAAATCTAAGTGCTGAACACACCCATTTCTGTGTATTTGAAGACAGAAAATCTTACTAAATGTGCTTTTTAAAATTTAAAAAATGAGCCAGGCACACACCTTTCATCCTAGCACTCGGGAAGCAGAAACAAGCAGATCTCTCTGAGTTCCAGGTCAGCCTGCTCTACAGAGCAAGTTCTAGGACAGCCAAAGATAGACAGAGAAACCCTATCTTGAAAAACCAATCACTCATTCAATCAATACATTCTGTAATAGCCATATTTCTAAAGAGATAAGAGATTAACTTTTTACATAAAAGAAACTACTTCATTAAGGAAAAATGTTTGTGCTGTACCATAAAGGCAATATATATTACACATCACATATAATTAGTCTCATTACAGAGGCAGATGTACATAGAAAAGAGTTCTGTCTTCAAAAGAATACTACACTCCAAAGGACAACACCATTACACTTCAATGTAAGCCTATTCAAGTATTCCTCCAAAACAGTGACTCCCAATCTATGTGTTGGTACCTTTTATAAAGGGTCTGAAAACTAATTTCGTGCCCAGGATCACTTAATCTACTTTTCAAGGATCACATAAGTAAATACGGTTATTAGATAAATCTAAAGCAAATGAATAGATACAAAACAGGCACTGAATTCAAGACAGGTTTTTAGTATTTGCCTGTTATTGTTCAAACAAGTGTCACGGGTAATATTTATGTAGGAATTTGGCTCAATAACATTTCCTGAAATTTTTCTAGAAAATTTCTACCTTGTAGATACTTCCAGCTGAATCAAATTAGGAGCTTTTGTTACCTAGCAGTACTGAGAATGAAGGACTACCAAGCAACCATAGAGAAGGCTCCATTCTGAGCAGCACTGTACCCAAATATCACAGGAAAACAAACGTTTGGACATGTACACATACATATCCTGAGAGACAGACAAGACAGACAAACACACAGACAGAGATACGTAATTTTTTAAACGTGTGTGTGTGTGTTTGCGTGCGCGCGCACGCACATGTGAGGGGACAGAGACACAAAGACAGAGAGGAGAGAGAGACAGAGAAACAGAAATACAGAAAGAGACAGAGCGCATTTGAGTATTAGCTTGTGGATATGTGCACATGAGCACAGGTGTCCTTGGATGCCAGAGGCATTTTTCAATCCCTGAGGTAGAGTTATAGATTTGTGAGACACTCAACATGGGTGCTGGAAACTGAACTCAGGTCCTGTACAAGAGTAGTACAAGCTCTTACCCAGAGCCACTCTCATCATCCCTCTGTAATTTCTAAGACTATCACTTATCTTTCCAGTTAAAAATGGAACATGGATCTACAAACATCAACTAAATAAAAATAGGGATTATTTAGGAATATATTTATTATACTTTACGGCTATTAGAAACTATTAACTGAAACCAGGCCTGGTGCTACACTAAACACTAAGGAGAATGAGGCAGCAGGACCAAATTTCAAGGCCAGCCTGGACTATGGAATGAGTTCCAAGGTAGCCCCAACTATGCAGTGACTTCCAGGACAGCCTGAGCTCCAGTTTGTGAGACTTACATCTTAAGACAGACAAGCAGGAAGGCAGGCGGGGAGAACAATGAAAAGAAAGAAAAAAGGAAAACTAACAAACAAAAGACCACTAACTGAAGCATGCTGTGCAGGTCCTAGTAACAGTTTGTGTGTGTAAAAACAAATTCAAAAAAAAACCTTTTAAGCCCTGATATATGACATTAAAAGGAAAAACATTTTTTTAAAGTAAAGATTACAGAACACACGTATATACAATGGGAAACTACAATTAAATCTGTTTAATTAGAAAACTAATTAAATTTTAATTAGAAAATCAGTTTACACTAGTTTTAATTGTAAGTTTTACTCCTTTCTTCTGAATGACTTGGAATGAGCCTGAGCACAGCCTGTCTATATGCAGGTGCACACAGGGTCCTGTGGAGACTACACCTAACACTGACCCCTCTCTCCTGCCCTCTCTCCTTTCAACCCAGCCCATACAGTCAGCGAAATCAGTGCCCTGCAGACCTGCATGCAGCTGCCTCCTCTGTACCTGTATGTGTACTCACAGCTGACCCCGCCTCCATTTCATTCTTGTGCCAAAGACTGAGGTCTCTGCACAGCAGTGTTGCTGTCTCACTCTCTCGCACAAACTGACCCCTGCTCCCCTTCTGCTTGATTTCTGCCTTTACCTCACTGTGGCTGAAGAAGACACTGTGCTATTTATCTTTTCAATCAATCTGCAGAGTATTTGTGACTGCTACAGCTTGGAAACAAAATACCTGTGCTGGAAGCTTGGTCCCCCCAGTGGAGAAGCATTGGAAGTGGTGAGGAGAGGCCTAATGGGAGGTGAGAAGGCCCTGAAAAGGTGAGGACAGGACTTACAGCAGTAGGTTAGCTTCAGAGATGAAGAAGAGGCTGGGTCCTGCAGGATCTTGCTTCTCTCTAAAGGCAACACTTCTTCACAACTCTCCTTCCTATCTTCCCTTTCTAAGAATAAGGAGGGTCTTCAACAGCAACCTCAATTATCATCCCTGGTAACAAATATCTTATATTTATGGTTGTGAGCCTAGCCTTTTAATGGCTGGCCATCTCTCCAGCCCAAGAACAAATACCTAAAGACATTTTGATGGTGGTAAATTTGAGTCCTGCCTGATATTTAACAGAAGGATTCCTTTATACTGATTAATTTTGAAACCACTTACCTATTCTTTCCCAGTTTTACAGTTTTATTTTGCTATTTTCATTAATGAAATAAGCAGAATTAGACAGAAGTAACATCTGTTTAAAAAAAAAATCCTGTACTGTCTATTTCTGCCTGTTGGAATTTTTTAATTAGAATAAATACAAGTGATGCCAAAGTATTGTGTTAAAAATGGTGCTCTGTTTCCCTTATTCCATATTCCAATCCAAATATTACCACAGATAAAGAAACAATGTATATTTTCAAAGAACAAACCCAGTACCAGCAGCCATGGCCGTAACAGGAAACTGAATCTCTGATAACAAAACTTTATGCCCAGTTTCATTTTAAAAGAAAAAAATATCATTTAAAATTTGAGTTTATGGCTATGGAAGGTAGCTCAATCAGTAAGTGCTTGCCATTTGTACAAAACTGAATTTATGTATGCATACAAAGAGAGGAGGAGGGAGAGGAAAGAGAAAGAACAAAAGAAGTCGGGGGTAGGAAAAAAGGAAGAAAGCAAGGGAGGGAAGGGAAGAAGAAGAAAAATCAGATCTGTAAGTGAAGCCCTCATAAGCCTCTCAGGTCAAAAGTCCCCTTAGCAAAATCACCCTGTGTTTCCTAGTATCTTAGGAATGTTTGTAGTCTATCTAAAAATGAAGGACATTCATCCAAACCTCCGTATCTTAATTCTTTATCTGTAAGGGGGTAAAAAAAAATCCCAAGTCCCTGAAGAGGTCCAAAGCTCACTCTCCATCTGGGCACACACAGCTCTCACAGGCCCTGATGCCTTAACCGCACATAAGGAAGACACAGAAAAGAATCCTGCGCTCAGTAAGCCATGCCCAGACAAAGCCAACTTTCCAAAATAGCTTTCTGAGCTTTCCCCAAGTCAAATACACAATTTTTAAATTTTTAAATAGTTTTTCTTTCAGCATTCAGGAAACTGGGTTTTGTATTGTCATGTTTGGGTTCTGAATAATAAAGCATCTTTCTAATTTGCTAAATGACATAACAAAAACTGATTACATTATTACATTAACAAATATACAATTCTTGAATTGAGCCAAAGGCAATCATTCTCCAAATGTAAAACCATTTACTGCGTCAGAAGCAGAATGGTTAATATGTTTTTACGATTTTGAACTTAATGGGTTTAATTAATTGAACTTAATGATTACATTATTACATTAACAAATATACAATTCTTGAATTGAGCCAAAGGCAATCATTCTCCAAATGTAAAACCATTTACTGCTTTTAATGAATTTAATGGAGAAAATAAGGGGAAATACTCTATTTATCTTCATTTAATGAATTTAATGGAGAAAATAAGGGGAAATACTCTATTTATCTCCAAGAAAGTAAACATCTAAGTATTTAAGGTTAAAAAAACCTAAACTCTGCAGGTGTCCACAGAGCAGAGCCTCCCTCCCCTCTTCTCTAAATCAACAATCTAACAAGAATTTAAAAAAAAAAAAAAAAGACAAGAAGACTCCACTCAGTGTTCTGACGAAGTACAAATAAAGAAAGCTCAAATAAGGCTTTAAATGGGTAAAAAACTGTGACAAGGAATAGTTTCCCAGTCAGTCAGTTCCCTTTGAGATGTGCTATCATTTCTCTCTATTTTGACGCTGTAAGTCTGATTAAGCTTACATCTTACCCTTCCTTCTTAGAGAGCCCAAGAAACTGTTGTGAACTGACACCGAAGCGTCACTTTCACACTGCGTCTACGAGCTATATAACTCTGCAATAGCAGAAAGCACAGGAAATGCAAATCTAAACGCGCAGTGCGGCACAAGTCCCCAGGGTCCCCTGTGCTAGCTCAAACATCTAACAGCAGCACACAGCTCCAGCCTTACACACTTACAGTATTAACTGGCCGCTTATTGTATATTTGAGTTCAACTAAGCAGGAATAAAAGTTGCCGAGGAAAACAATGTCAATGTCATGCCAAACTCCTCAGCTACACCCTATTCCTGAGACCATCTCCTGAGGACAAGAAGCTCTATCTACACAAATACAGATCGTCCCAAATTGCCAAACTGCCTTTTATGGTTTTAATTAAGCAAAACGGAAATATAGTTTCAGATTCTTATTTCATTAGCTCTCTGATTTCAGAAGAACTCTGGTATTTCAGTAGCTAAACTAACATGGATTCTGGTGTTAACTGAGATATTCAGCTCAATTTCATGCCATTTTCCAAAGCCAACCAAAATAATAACAAAATAAAATTAATTACCCTTCATTTACAAAATGCTAAAATTAACAAGTCTTTTTTGCAGAATAAAAGTAACTTTCATATATAAATGTGTATGTATGTTACATATGTGTGTCATATATATACGTGTGTCTTGCTATGTAGTCCTGGAGGTCCTTAGCCTCACAGCAATTCTTCTATCTCAGTCTGCCAGTGTTCAAATTACAGATATGTGTCACCACTCCTGACAAAATAACTTTTTTCTTTTTCATTTTTTCTTTCGGTTTTTTTGAGGCGGGTTCTCTGGGTAGCCTTGGCTGTCCTGGACTCATTTGTAGACCAGGTTGGCCTCCAAATAATGGAGATCCACTTGCCACTGCTTCTGCTGGGATTAAAGTCATTGCACCACAACTGACTGGCTATAAAATAACATGCATTTGGGTTCCTAAATTCAGCGAGGAAAAATTCACCTTTATACTACTGCAAATGACAACCAAGTTACATATCTCATTCATAATAAACAGTAAGAATAACTGGTATGTACTTGGCAACTTCTTCAATGTGAATCTGAAGGTTAACACCTGTTTTTACATGTATACATACACACACACAAATTCTTTTAAAATAATGTTTAAATTATTTAAAATTTTTTAAATTATTAAAAAAAGGATTTTGAGTAAAATCCTTTTTTAAAATTCAAGCACTCCTGTGGACAGCAATCAAAAAAGAGATCTGGCAGCAACTTCAGGTCTACACAGACAACACAAATAACACAGACACAGAGACAGAGACATACACACACACACACACCTCCATCAGCAAATGCATACCAAAAAAAAAAAAAAAAAAAAAAAGAACAGATTAGAAATTAAAATTCATTCAAGCTCTCTCCATGGGCAACAGAAAATTCCAACATCAAAAATGAACTATTTAGTGGTAAAACACCATAAGCTCTTTAGGTGTGAATAAAACAAAGAATAAACATTAGAGAAAAAAAGAAACTAACATAAGATCAGGAAGACCTTTTAAAAAGCTGTACCAAAGAGAGAGAGAGAGAGAAACTCTAGCAACGTAAACATTTAAACTCCTCTCACAGGAGACTTTGGAGGGCAAAACTTCTACATATCCTGCCAAGTCTAACCTAGAAAAAATACAGTCCTATATCTTCCTTTTAATAAGGTTCCAGTTACCAAGGTAACGTTCCTCATACATAAAACAGATGTCCCAGCAGAAACTCCAGTGACAGTTATTACCCTTTTACAATACAAACAAAGTTGAGCATATATACGTGCAGGGATAAAAATACACTGTAAAGCTTCAGAAATAATAAACAGGCTAAGCAAATGATAACTAAGTTGTAAGAAAAAAAGCCCTCTGAGTGTTAGGTAAGAAAACCCTTGATCCCAAGGGTATATACATTCCCTTAAAACATTTCTAGTAGGAAGCGTGGATGGACCCAGTAGGACGCCCAACAGCACTGCTAGCCTAGTAGAAGGAAGCCATGTCTAAAAGACTTTAGAGACATTAAACACAGCGCAGGAGGGAGAAAACGATAGAAAGCTTTAAACTATCTTTTCTCAATTTTTCATTTGAATTTGGATAACATGGGATGAATATTAAATTTCAAGAATGAAATTCCATCTTATAAAGAATTATTTCTGGAAAGTTTACTTGAAATGTTTTCAAGCTTGGTTTACATACCTCTGCTTCTACATCTACATTTTGCTTCAAAAGTAACTTCAAAATATCAACATGTCCATTTTGACTAGCAGCTTGCATAGCTGTGTGGCCAGCACACTGTCCATTTACCTAAAAAAGAAAGGAAGAAAAAATTAACAAATGCCACAAATCAGAAATAGCCAATAAACTTGATTTTTAAAAATCTTGTGTAATGTATGATTCTTTGAGAACAATCTGACATTACAAATATCACAACATAGACCATCAAAATTATTTAAAGAAATAAAGGAGAGACAGAGAGAGGGAGGGAGGAAGGGAGAGTCTGCACACACACACACACACACACACACACACACACACACACACACACACACACAGGCTGTAGCTCTGGACCTACAGAATGTCTTCCTCAATTGCTCTCCACGCCTTACTTTTTTGTTTGGTTGGTTGGTTGGTTGGTTTTTTCGGACAGTTTCTTTTCTGTGTAACCTTGGCTGTCCAAGACTTGCTCTCTAGACCAGACTGGCCTCGAACTCACAAGATCTGACTGCCTCTGCCTCCTGAGTGCTGCACACCTTACTTTTTAAAACAATGACCCTGAAGCACACCAATTCACCTAAAATATCGCAACAGAAAGCTCCAGGATCTCCCTTTCTCTGCCTTCCCAGCACTGAGACAGTAGGTAAGCCTCTGTGACAGTTGTCTGCAAGCTAAACTCAGGTTCTCACGCTTGAACACGTGCACTGTTACTGGCTCAATCTTCTTCTAGCCCCTCACCTTCCTTTTTCTATTTTAAAAGGTGTTAGCTTGACTAAATCAATTTCAAATCAACAGAGAGTCTGAATAGAAATGATCAGGATAAACACAACATAGAACTTGTCTGTTACTCAGAAACTATGCAAAATGCAGACAACATAAATCAAGTAAGTCTTTGAAAAGAAAATAACAATAATTATGGATATATCACAAATAATATAAATGTACAGTATAAGTTTCCTGATAGGCATTTTCTCTATGAAATGATTATGCCTAAAAGAGCTTTAGATAGAAGTAAAACAAAAAATCTTGCTTTAAATTTTTAGTATAAATGGCACTGTAAAAAAGTAACTTAAAAATCAGGTAAATGGGTTAAAATTTCTAATTAAAAGACAGACTTGGCCAAGCAGATTATAATTTTAAAGAAAAAAAAAAGACAAAATCCAACTGTATATTGCTTACAAGGAAATAATTTCACCTCTAATGATACACACAGAGACTGCAAATATAGAGATGGAATCAGATAATCCATGCAAATGGAAACCAAAAAAAACCAGTAATCAATCATCTTACTAATATCAGATAAAATAGACTTAACATCAAAGGTAGTGAAAAGAGGCAAGGAGTTTGAAGCAAGTCTGGACTACATGACAAGATGAAGAAGAGTGGAGTGAATAGTAGGACCACAGTCAAGAAATCAAGGGCTAGAAATTCATTCAAATATTCAATAGATCTAAAGGTAAAGAAAATACTTCAGCACAATATGCTAGATAGTTTTATGTCAACCTGACACAAGCTAGAGTCATCTGACAGGTGAGAAGCTCAATTAAGAATATAGGTCTGGAGGCAAACCAGTAAGGCTTTTTTTTTTAATTGATGTGGGAGGGCCCAGCCCAATGTGAGTGTTACCATCCCTGGGCTGGTAGTCCTGGTTCAAAATAAAAAAGCAGGCTGAGCAAGCCATGAGGAGCAAGCCAATAAGCAGCATCCTTCCTTGGCCTCTGCATCAGCTCCTGCCTCCAGATTCCTGTCACACGTGAGTTCCTGTCATGACTTCCTGCAATGATGAACAGTGATATGAAGTATAAGCTGACCTTTTCCTCCCCAACTGCTTTGGTCATAGTGTTTCACTGTATCAGTAGAAACCATAACTTAAGACTCACAGTGTCAGTAGCCAACAGAAAAATTGTCAAGACAAAAATCAAAGGAAAACAGATAAATCACACCCCAGACTACAAGAAATCTATACAACATTTCATCCAACAAGTGCAAAATACGTATCTTTCTTAACAGCATGCAAAACACTCTCAGATACAGTATATGATAAGTTGCAACACAAATTTCAACAAAATCTTTAGAATAAATGATTTTGGCTTTTTTTTTTCTGACCACAGTACAGTAAAAAATAGGTTTGGTATTATAGGATGTTTGTGGAAATCAACAATTTACACAAAAATAATGGATCAAGAAAAAAAATAAATAAAGCAAATTTAAAAGGTGGTGTAGGCACAATATTGCCTCAACTCTACCCTGTATGGTGCAATACTGACATGACACGACAGTAATCAACTGTGTTCTGACTTAATATGAGGCCTGCTAGACAGGAAGGATTTCATGCCCGATACTGTAAACAAATGAGCTGTGACTAGATCACAGGCCTTGGGGGGGGGGGGGACCTACTACTGTTGTTTTGCTAAGGTCATGCTGTCAAACTGCTGCTAAATATTGATGCTTATACCCACAGATTAATCCTACCCGCACCTTTGTTTCATTGGATGATGGCTAATGTAAAGATGCACAACTGGTCAAAGGGCTGGGTATAAATAATTGCAAATCCTCATCTGTGGGAGGGTCATCTATATCAACCTCCCCAAACCCAAGACTCAAGGAACATCAAGGAAGAAGGGGTGAAAAGACTGTTACAGCCAGAGAATAGGGAGGAGACCATGAAATGCTGACTCCTGGACAGAACACAGCCGCTACACACATCAGCCCACACCAGCTACAGTTACCACAACATCAAGCAGTCAATATTCCAGCGTGGAGCTGGGCAATGATGGTGCATGCCTTTAATCCCAGCACTCAGGAGGCAGAGGCAGGTGGATCTCTATGAATTTGAGGTCAATCTGGTCTACAGAGGGAGTTCCAGGACAGCCAAGGCCACCCAGTAAAACACTGTCTCAAGAAAAAAAAACAAGAAACAAAGATTCCAGAATGAGTAGTGAAGGTGCCCCTGAGGCCCCACCCCTAGAAAAGTTGATAGACAGCTGATGAAGGAGAAAGGATCACTGTCCTTTAGGAATATGGTTACTCGTAGTTGCCTATGCCAGAGAATGGCCCACATCCATGCCATGCCCCTACATATGGGAAGAACTACTTGACCTCAAACTTATTGAAGTTGAGAGATAAAATTGAGAGCAGTAGGAAGAGTTGAAGGAGGGCAGTGATCAAAATATATTGCATAAATGTATAAAGTTTCTAAAAGCAAATAAAAATATGATCAAAAAAGACCCCAAAGGCCTAGTACACAGTTAAGTGCTTTGTCCCTTGCCTAGAATGTGTAAGGCCCTTTAACCCAATCCTCACACCTATGAACACTCAAAAAGAGTTCAGATAAACAGCTATGTTAATTAAGACTTGCTGTGACAAATACTCGATAATAACATCTTAACAAAGTATGATTCCTTTAATAGACATTTTTGGGAGGGTTTATGGTTTCAGGCCATCACAGAGGGAAGGTTGTGAGGTGGGCAGAACAACTCCTATCACAAAAGCCCAAGGAGCAAGGGGGGGATACGCCTGTACTGGGCTAGCCGACCCTTTTGTTTCATCTGGACTCCCAGGCTACTGGGTTGGGTTGCCCACATTCAAGGACAGCCCTTCTCTCCTTAAGTTTTCCTGGAAATGTCCTCCCCCTATACGTGCACGCACAAACACACACGCTCTTAACCAACCTCCTAGACTTATCTCAGTTCAATTCAGTCAATACGGCAGATCAACCACCACACAAGCTATCTTTGTGCTCCAAGGAAATACAAAAACACAAAACAAACCAAATCTAACACCTGTAGAAAGCACAAGATAATGAAGATCAGAACGTGTGCTGAAGAGTAGGCCAGCAGGTGCAAGGCTATGGGTTTGAATACCAGAAACAAAGCACAGAATCAGAGCAGAAATAAATGAAACAGAAAACTGGAAATAAAATCACGTAAACAAAGAGCTGTTCTTTGACAAAATAAAATTGACAAATCCTCAGCTTGACTAAAGAAAGGGGGAAATATTCAAGTTTGGAGATGAAAAACAAAAAGTACAACTGACAGTATGGAAAAATCAAAGGATCACTGAGGTGATTATCAACAGCTGCATGTCTACAATGAACAAATTCATTATCCTATCAATACTGAATCTTCACAAAATAGAGAACCTGGATAGAAGTTAACACATAAGAGGGAATCCGTAGCTACCTCACTAAGACTTACTTCATCCAGCTGTGCCTCTCCAGAAAGAGCTGACATCAATTTTCTTCAATTACTATTCCAAACTCTATCAAGCAAACATTACCTTTACATGTAAAAAGGGCAAGGACACACACAGAACAAAAATATAGGTAAATATTTTTTTATGAACACAGATGTAAAACCCTTTTAAAAAGATTAATCATCACAATCATGTGTAGTTCAGGCAAAAAAAAAAAAAAAAATCCCAGAGTACTTTGATTTGATTCACAATCAATAAACATGATTATACCACCTCAACAAATGAAGGACTGAGAAATTTCAGGAACATCTCAATAAATGCTGAAAAGGTACTTTTGATAATATCCAACATCTCTTCATGATGAAAACTGAACAAACTAAATGCTGGAATATACTTCAACAGAATAAAGATCCTGTACAGTGAATAGCAGCTAACAAGCTAGATGAGGGAAAGCTTTCAGATTTGGAACAAGGCAAAGATGGCCACTTTGACTACTCATTTATTCAACCTGCTACTGGTGGTCACAGAGCACTCAAAGGAACAAAAACAAATGGCACCTAACCTGGGAAGAGTAAATTAAACTGTCATTGTCTGCAACTAACACGATTTCTATACAGAAAACTAGAAAGCTAGGCAAGGTGGTGCACGCCTGTTATTCCAGCAGCTTGGAGGCAGAGGTAGGGGACCATCCAGGGCTACAATGCAAGATCCTGGCTGAAAACCCAAAGGAGGGAGAAGGGAAAGAACTCACGTACAGAGGGAAAAAGGAAGGGAAAGACAAGGATACAAGGACAGCCCTAAAGAATCCACCAAAAAAGCTGCTTGAATTATTAACAACAGCCAGAATGAGCTATAGCAGCACTGGCATACCTGAACAGCAGGACATCTGAAGTAGGAAACTTTTCAATCCCAGTTACTCCTGGGATTGAAAGTCATAAAGGAAAAATCTGAGCAAAGAGATCAAACATTTCTAAGTTGCTGAGGAAAGAAACTGAAGAGGACACATAAATACAGAAAAACATCAACTTCATGCATACCAAGATAATAAAATGGCCAAAGTAGGCTCAATTCTTGACAGAAACAAAAACCTAAGACAATTTTTAAAGTAAAAAAAAAGAAAAAAACCTAGAAGTTACATGAAAACTCACATATAAAGACACTTAGGTACACACATACACACACACACACACACACACACACACACACACACACACCGTGAGCAGGAAGAACAAAGTACTCTGTACTCTGACTTCAGGATACACTCAAAGCTATAGTAATTAAAACATCCAGACACTGATACAAAAGCAGACTGGCACAAAGAACCACCAACTCCAGCATCAATAACCAGCTGATGTTTTGGCACTGAAAGCTGAGATACATACTGGAGAAAAGACTGTATGGCCAGTGCTATAAATTCTATCAACCGCAAGAGCCAATTCTAAATGGCTCGAAGACTTTAGCCTATACGAAATCATTAAAAACTATTTTTGCATATGCCCAAAAGTTGTTTTCTAAGTGCTCACATCCACATCTGGTCTTTTCAGTAAATCTTCCACTTTAGCCACGTCCCCATTGGCAGCAGCTTTAACCAGCTCTTCATTGAGGTCACCAGATTCTTGGGTTTCAAATAATTTCTTCAGAAGCTGTGAGAGTCTTTCTGCAAAGCACAAAACGAGCTGTTAATAGAGGAACAAATGTTCTCCATGTTCCTAAACACTTTTCCTGTTTCACTATTTCTAACATTAATGCTATTTCTGCTGTGTGCAGACAGCTACCCAGGCAACTAACAAGCATTATTAATAGAAGGATTCATTAAATTTAACTCCATAAATACTCTCAGTGTCTTCGAATCATGTAGTTCAAGTCGTAAATACAGAAAAAGAGTTACAGACTGAAATAATTTCAGATTTAAAGTCATACTAAGGACACCACAAACAATCATAGCAGCATGTGAACCCACAATGAAATAAATGCCTTTCAAGTCTTGACTCTACACTACACACCACAGAAGATTTCAGATTGTAGAAAACACAACAGAGCAACAGTTATAATTCAGAAATAATGGACGCTCTATAATATCTGGAAATACATTTTAGGAGCAAATCAATGTTTAGCTGAAAATGAGCATATATATGATAACAGCTTATTACATGCCTCTTGACTGTTTGTCCTAAACAGTCTATTTAATACAAAAGATACCAAGTTCTAGAGTTTAATTTTTGGAGACATTATTCAAAAACACAGAAATCACAAAGTGGGGTAGGAGAAAACCAAAGCTTACAAAGCACGCCCAGCGCAATTACTTAAGAGTAGATATTAACTGCTCTTCACTCTTTAGTTCATATGTAGCCAAGCTATCTTGATGCATCTCACCTCAAATATAAACCAACACTGGCTGACTGACCAGTGTACTAACAAGTAGCAGAAGGAAAGGGAGAAAGTAGAAAGCAGTTTAAAAAGAATCATTCTTAAATCTTTCTTTCTTTTTGGATACAGGGTCTCAACTGTCCAAGCTAGCCTCCAATCCAGATCCTCTTGCCTCACTTATCAATGTGACTAAGATACCACAGTATCTATTAACCTAGTGGGTTTTGTTGGGAAGAGGAGGGACTTGGTATGGTCCAGTTACTATCATGGTTCTGCCTCCTTTACTAGATGGCAAGAATGCACACACAGTAACTCAGAAAATGATGCAGAATAAACCAGACTGCACACAAAGCTGGGGCCTAGGTAGGAAGGACAACAGGATCATGTTTAGCCAACCACTCAGCAAGTTCACACTTTATCACGTTCTGATGTTAATATGACTGATATGTAAAAATATACAGAACGAGTTGGAAATAAAAGTAAGTTAGGAAAGAGAAGGGTTTTGGAAAAAAAAAAAAAAAAAAAGGCAAATTCATGGAACTTTTTCAGGGAGAACCTGAGCCAGAATAAAGGTTACTCAGCACACTAAAAAGAGAAGAGGAGAAAAGGGTGGTAGGACAAAGAGCAGAAAGGGGAGGGAAGGAGGAAGGAGTAAAAAAAGGAAAAAAACCTTAGTAAAAGTTGACAAAGTAGCCGGGTAGTGGTGACACAAGCCTTTAATCCCAGCACTTGGGAGGCAGGAACAGGTGCATCTCTGTGAGTTCTAGGCCAGGCTGGTCTATAGCGGGAGTTCCAGGCCAGCCAGAACACAGAAAAATCCTACCCAGACAAACAAACAACAACAACAAAAAAAAAACCCCCACAGATTACAAAGTATTCAATATCCAAGTAAGCCTTTGTCTGAAGAAAGGCAAGTGTGCATACAAGGCCATCTGTGCATTTTGTTGTCAGGGTTTTCTTGTGCAGCCCTGGGTAGCCTGGAACTAGGTCTATCCACCAAGTTGGCTGTGAGCTCAGAGGTCTACCTGAGTGCTGGGTTAAGGGTTTGTGATACCGTGCCAGGCCTGAGACCAGGTAAGCACAGAGGGCAAAACCTACCGCCAGATGCATTGCTAATGGCTGACCCCGCAGATGCCACCTTGGAGACTGCTGCAGGGTTATACGTCCACGACGTTCCACAAACTTCCACCTTTAAATCACTGTCCGAATAAATCTGCTGGACTCGTCCAACTTTACCTAAAGTCTTAAAAAAAAAAAAAAAAAAATTAAACGCTATCACCACAGTCTGTATTCTAGGCCAACTTTACCTACAGTCTTGTTAAAAAAAGTAAATTATTATTAAATGTCATCACCGCCTTCTGTATTCTAAAATGTTGATTTTACTTAGTTACTAATTTTAAAAACTAGTAAAAATTAGAGATAACCGTACTCAAATACATTATTAGTCATAAACTTAACTGAATAATGGGGCTGGAAAGATAGCTTAACCATTAAAAGCACCTGCTCTTGAAGTGGATCTGGGTTCTCTTCCCAGCACCTAGATGGCGGCTCACAGCCAGCCCTACATCCAGTTTCAAGGGAGCAAACAGCCTCATCTGACCTCTGCAGGTGGCAGTGTGTGGTGCACATACATGCATGCAGGCAAAATACTCATGTATATAAAATATGAATTATTCTAAAATAAAAATTTAAAGTAACTGCTTCAAAAGAAAGGTACAGAAATAAAATGTACATTAAATGGAAAAAGAAGGTACATCGTGCACAGATATCAGTAGCTACACGAGTTCTCTCACCAGATGATAAACAGTTTAAGACCTTTATCTTCTTGGGTACAGGTGTACAATCCAGAAACAAGCACTTTTATTAGGCACATCTGACACTCGAGATACAAAAGCCAGTTTCTTAAGCATTGCAAAATCACAACAGCTGAAAATTGGTGAGACTAGAATAGCTGAGTACTTCCTAACAGAGGTAGATTAACCTTGTGCACTGTTGGCTTATGACTTTTCCAACTTCTTGAAAGGAGTCCCACCATTTCTGGATGACAGTATTACCTTTTTGCCCATTCCTTCTTTCTCATGTAGAGATATAGGTAGATATATATACATATTTAATAAATACTACATAAGAGTGTTTTCAACTCTTTTTCTTCCCCCCCCCCTTTGACATTTTATTATGGGAAGCTTCACACAAAAGTAGCTAACAGTATACTGAACTTTCATGTACTCTCCAATAGCTAAAAATAATTATCAGCTCATGGCCAATCTTCATATATTCTCCCACCCATTCTCCACTCCAAGATTACATTAGCATATACATACAAAACATACATTATTAAACAGATTTATGCCCACCCATTCAACACTATTAATAATCCTGGATCATAAAGTATAAAGTATTCAAATTTCCAACTGTCAAATAACAGGTCATAAGCTAGAGATCTGGCTTAGCAGTTAGGAGCACATACTGCTCTTGCAGAGTAACTAATTTTGGTTCCAAGCACTCACTTTGGTTGACTCACTATCACCTGTAACTCTAGCTCCAGGAGATCTGATACCTTCCTTCTTCCGGACTCCAGAAGCAAATGTACTCACATGTACAGATCCACAGACAGACAGAATAGAAATGTAAAAACTAAACCTTGAGGGCTAGAGAGATGGCTCAGCAGTTAAGAGCATTTGCTCTTACAGAGGACCAGGTTCAATTCCCAGCACCCACATAGTGGCTCACAACCTTTAACTACAGTTCGAGGGGATCTAATGCCTTCTTCCAACCTCTCTGGGTATTGGGGACATACACAAATCTAAGCAAAACACAGACATAAAATAATCTTAAAAAAAACCCAAAGTAAGTCTATATGCTTTTTTCATTATAAATAATATGAAGAAACAGGGTTATCTGACTCAAAATCTGAATTTTGTTAATTGGTGTAGCTGAACAGGCTTGCCTGTCCTCTGTATGTAGCAGTGAGAACTCTTCAAATTGGCTGTTTTTTTCTTTAGCACAACTCTACAAATTGCTGATAGCTCCTTTGCTGTCTGGCACAAGGCCCATCCTCACCTAACTTTTCTCTCTAATAAGGGAAAGTTATCTGAAGTCATAACCTACACTGCATTGGTTACTGCTACTACCTTCTCACTAGGAGAAAACTGACCAGGTCTCTCCAGGGACAAAGAAAGCGGGGTTTATTTTCTCATGTTTTTATTTTTGCTTATTTTTTTAAACCTATTTCCTTATTTTAAATTAATGCATGCGTGCCAGCGTGTATGTGCATGCAGGCAAGTGCACAGAGGCCAAAGGAGGGCACCAGGTCTCCTGGACTGGGGTTACAGACAACTACTAAGCACAGTTGAGTTTAAATCTCCAGTCACTGTTTGTTTTTATATACATATAAACTTTGTATGTCCTAATGGCTACATTTAACTAATCTTTATATAAATACAAATGTGAACATACATCTCCTTACTCCTTTAAAATAAGACTCATATATTTGAATATGTCTATTCTGTAGTGTGAGCAATATTTGAAATTAGTCATTCACATATTCTTTTTACACACCCCTCCCCCTCCATCTTCACACACACACTTTTTAAAAACAGACTGGAGCCTGGTGGTGGTGGTGGCAGTGGCAGTGCACACCTTTAATCCCAGCACTTGGGAGGCAGAGGCAGGCAGATCTCTAAGTTTGAGGCCAGCCTGGTCTACAGAGTGAGTTCAAGACAGCAAAGGCTACACAGGGAAACCCTGTCTCAAAAACAAAACAAAACAAAACACTAAATAAATAAATAGATAGATTAATAGATAAATAAATAAATGAATAAATGCAAGCTAGATGTAATGTTTATTAGTGAACATGACTAGTGGGGTGTGGAACACCAGCACAGTGGAAGCCCTAAGGAGTGCAGGGCCTTACTAGCTGTCCAAAAGACAAGAACGGAGAATATATTTGATCTCATGGACATCTGGAATAAGCCACTTCTCAGCTACATATCTTCACATTCACTAAACCTGGGGATATACTACTTTTCTGAGGTGTGGATGTTCTAGTAGCCAGAGAACTTGAACTTGACTCTATACAGGTCACTAATCACATTCCTTATTCTTGGTGCAGATAAACATGATAACCAATGGCCAACATGATAACCAGTGGCCAATGTAAATCCTGGCCACTAATCCCTTAGGTCTTTTCAAATGTACTCTGGGTCCCTATCTAGGGCTTAGATGGAAAACAACATTGAGAAGAAAAACACAAAAAAACAAAAACACAAAACAAAAACCCAGCAGAAACTGCCCCTTCAGGCAGCTCATACAAGCAACAGGCTGAATGCAACAACAAAGGATGTATTTGCAGCCCCTGCACACCAAGCTTTCAGTGCATTTAAGTAACAGTATTTCATGATAGTTAACACAGCTAAAAAGCAAACAATTTACCAAACTCCTCCTGTTTTCTCGTTCCCATTTCTGACAGTTACAAGTTAGGCAGTAAGAACATGTAGTCACTGTGTGTGCTCCCCTTTCAAGTTAGTCAACGAAACAAGAAAATGCATGTTGTATGATCAGCTGGCAGCTAGTCAGCTGGACTGTCTGAGTCTCATTCTTTAGTAGATTACCCACAACAGGCCGCTTAAATTCTTATATACTCAAAGCTATTTACAATCTTTATACTTACGAGTCAGTTTGGTTAAATATACATTTTCTTTCCTTAGTTATACTAATTATCATGCCTTCTGGCATGAAACATTGAGACATTTTCCCATACTTCACAGTTATGACCAATAATTCGACCTTTTTTCTTGGAGGTCTGAGGAATTTTTCCTTGAAGACTCAGTTAGTCTGTTAGAGCAGGTTTCCCAGGGAAGGCATGTGTCCACACTTCGAAGTTTTCAATCTCAAGAATATTTAGCTGAATTTACAAGTGTTAGTTTAGTGGTGGACAGCTGGCTGACAAGATCTTAGTTATACCAAAAAAGCATTGTTCGTTTCAACCCTTTGCAGTTGCTGGGTTTACATATGCATCTATCAGATATTCCATATGTGTCATTTTATATGCAATACATTTTATTCTTTTCATATTTAAAATTTTCACGCCTCAGACCCTTCTGTTGTTCCTAAGATATTACCTATGGTAATTATTTGTTGCATGTTCCTTTCAACTTAATCATCACTTTTGAAAACCTTATGTGCCCATTTATGCTATGTATCTGCATGCAGAACCTAAGTTCTTGAAGGTGGAGATCAGATGTCATCCACTATCACTCTCCATTTAACTTTTAATTACATTTTTATTTAGTTATTGTATGCATAATAACACAAGTGTGTATGTGTGCATCCATGACCTAGTATGAGTGGTGGTCAGAGGACAGACTGCACAAAGTTTTCTCCTCCTACCATGTGGGTCCTGAATACTGAACTCAGATCATCAGCCTTGCTGGCAGGTGGCCTTAGCAGCTGAGCCACCTGTCCCTAGCCTCATTCTTATCTTCTAAGACAGGGTTGGGGGTCTGTCTCTGACTCCCTCCATCTCTCTTCCTCCTCCCCCTTCTTGCACCCGCAAGCCTAGCGCTTACCCACCTGCTAGACTGGCAAGCCTTCGAAAGCTCCACTATGTGCCTCTCTTCGCTACAGTTACAGCTGCGTGACTTCTGTATGTGTTCTGAACAGAGAAAATCATTTCTTCGTGCTTGCTTGGTAGGCCAACTGAGCCATCTCCTCAGGCAATCGTTTTTTAAATGGCCTTTTTCTTCTTTTGAATTCTTTCTTAAGTTATAACACTTTGTTCCTGTTATTTCAAGCTTCTGTTTCAGGAAATGTCCTTGATTTATTTTAGCTTATTTTGAGTTGTTTCACTTTAGCTTTTCTCAATTTTCTGTACAATATCTTTGTGTGTAGTGTTGTTCCGATCTAATCCTGTCCTTGGTAATAACTGCACGCGTAGTACCACCTTTTATCTGTAGCTGTTCATTCCTTTGCCCATACTGTCTCTATTTCACTCAATTTCATTTCTAGTCTCAGCATTTTTTCTTTTAACAGACTACTCTAGAAGGGAGCTCTGGATGGCCTCAGGTGACTTTAGCAGGAGCCTATCATAGTCAGTCAAACTGAAGCCTGTAAGAGCACTCCAAGATTCACTGTTACTTACAGCACTAGTCTCCACAGTAGCCAACGAGAATCTGATAGTTAACAGAGCAAATAGGTTCTGCTCTCAGGTCTACCAGATGCCCAATCAATTCACTCAACTGCCAAACAATCTGATGTGGGCTGAGTATGCCAGTGACTTAGCTACCCATTCATATTTTAAAGTAATGTACAGAGACTGCATTTTCCTTGTTTTGTTTACAATTATATCCTTAAATCTAACAGGTATATTTTATGTTCTAAAATATCTATTGAGGAAATAAAGCTAGAAGGAGGGATGTACTAACAGAAGGACAGAACAAGAGTAAAGACAGGATGGGGGATCAGACAGGATGGGAAAAGGCAAGTTAAGGCAGGAACATGAAGAGAAAGAAATGAAGCACTGTCCTGTCCTGTCTGAGAAAGGAGGGCTGAACAAGAGAGGGGAGGGCAGGGATTCCAAGAGGAGGAGAGGAAGCACAGAGGATGCGAGCTGGAAGCAGAACAGAGGGGACAAGTGGACTGAACAGGAGGGCACAACAAGGCGAAAGGGGATGGGACACAGGACCAAGAACAGAATAAAACAAGCTAATACAGAACACAGAAGAAAAGCTGGTATAAGAAAAGAGCAGACAAATGAAAGACAAAATAAACATGTTTATTACCATTACACGGTTGATGAAATGTATGAATGAAAAACTAAAAAATTCTGTTGTACGCACCGAGAGCAAAACTACCCTCAGAAGACGAGCCCTTGAACCGCCCCACACCCCTCACACATTGGGCCCCAATAGCAAAAGAGCTGTGGTGCCCTCATGCTACTGAGACTGAAGAGCATGCTGCCTCTCACTTGGGGACTGAATAGAGGAAATCCTCTGTCCCCTACTGCTACACCACATCCATCATAAACAGTGTTATCAGAAATACTGGCCCCTTCTGGATCTTCCTAGGCTTATCCAACGGGAATAAACTAGGTATGAGTACACCTCGCTGCCTAGTACACCTAGAATACAAGTCTAGTAAGGTAAGTGTAGACACACACGCACACACACACGCTACATACATAGCAATCCTCTGCAATTACATTCTGATTGATTTTTCTTTTTTGTTACTTTCAGTTCTACTTGTCTCTAAAACTAATTCACTTTAATTAGTTAGTTAATTAATTCTATGAGCACAGTATGATATTTTTTCCCAACTATTTTACATATACTTACTGGAAGCATTGCTTCAGCCCATTCACCATGTCCTCTTTGGAGAAGTTTAATTCTTTCCAGATCATAACAAACTTGCACAAGATCACCCACTTGGAACTGCGATGTGCCTCCTTCGGCACCCTGAGCAGAATCCCCACTTCGAACAATGTTTGCCTTAGTGAGGACAGCAGGATTGAAGGTCCATCTACAAGTGCAGAACCAGGCTTAGAACAAGTGAATTCATTCAATACACCTTTAAACACTGCAGAGAGAAAAACCTTATACCACTTTAGACAGTCCTCTGCAGTTACATTCTGAATGACTTTTATTTCTTTTAATGGTACTTTCAAAGTCTACCAGTGCATATGATACATAAGGAACCTCCCTGTATGGTACATCACTGCACACAGAGTTGGTGTCCTCAGAGCTGCTTAAGAAAGCTTCCTGATCACAAGTATTTATTTACCATTCTGTCCTAGCCAAACTGCCTATCAGGCACATCTATCCAGTACATCAGGGTTCTCAACCTGTGGGTCACAACCCATTTGGGAGTCACATATCAGATACCCTGCCTAACAGATATTTACATTATGATTCGTAACATTACCAAAATCAGTTATGAAGTAGCAACAAAATAATTTTATGGTTGGGGTCAGCACAGCATTGATGACCCCAGGATCCCAGCATTAGCAAAGTTGAAACCTCTGCCCTATATCAATCTCACAGATAAGAGACTATCTAGTTTTACTTTGTCAAGCACCAATGTTTCCGTAATTGTAAGCCCTGTATTAAAATAAACCTGATCTGGGACTGTAGCTCAGGGATAGTGACTGACTGGCTTGCCCAAACCCTGGGCTCCATTTCCCAGAACCACACACAAATCAGTCCTTTTTTTTTTAAAGACAGAATCTCAAATAACCCAGGCTAGCCTCAAACATACTGAAAATTTATTCTCCTGTCCTCCTGCCTCTGCGTCCAGAGTGCTTAAATCACTCAAGGCCTCATCAAACAAATGTACCACAGCGTGTACAGCACCCTCCACTGGCCCACACGCTGAACTCCAGAGCAGAGAAAGATCCTTGTCAAACAAATCCCTAACTACTTGCGCCGTACACACTCTTCAGAATCCAAGCGCTAACCTCGAATAAGAGAATCTGAGAGATCACACTACACTTAAGGAAAAACAAAACAAAACAAAACAAAACACCACTGTTCCTAGAATCATACAAGTTGGGGCTGGTTAAATGGCTTAGTGGTTAAGCCAGTGTTTCTCAAACTATGGGTTGTGCCCCTTTGGGGTTGCATATCAAATATCCTGCATATCAGAAAAATTTTATTACAACTCATAAAGCAGCAAAATTACAGTCATGAAGTAGCAACAAAGTAATTTTATGGTTGGGGTCACCACAACATGAGGAACTGTATTAAAGGGTTGCAGCATTAGGAAGGCTGAGAGCCACTGGGTTAAGCACACTTAATGCTCTTGCAAAGAACCTGGGTTTGGTTCTCAGCATCTACATGGGGGCTCACAACCACCTGTAAGTCCATTCCAGGGGCTCCAAAGCCCTCCTCTGGCCTCCACCAGCTCCTGTACACACATGGTGCACATAAATTCATTCAGGCACACATGCACAAGAATAACAAATAAAACATTATAAGCATGCAAGAAATTTTTTTCTAAAGTAACCCCGGATGGAAATGATCTCTGAATAGTTAACAATCATATTCAGGAACCAGTAAGATGGCTCAGCAAGTAAAGGCATTTGCCACCAGGCCTGTCAACCAGAGTTTAAAGCCCAGGAGCCCTATAATGGAAGGAAAGAACCAACCCCTGCAAGCTCTCCTCTGACTTTAATGCAGGCGTACACATGCACAGCCACAGACATTTTTACAAAATGAAATACAAAATTCTGTTTTCTTTCTTGTCAACCAGTGTCCTTTACCTCCAGAACCACACTGTAAAACTTAGCAGACTTAAAACAGCATGTGAACACAGCAGTGTGGACTTAATTCTCTCCCTTTACATGCCTAACTGATGTGTTTTCTGACCTAACTGATGTGTTCTATACCTACTGGAATGACTGTCTGCACCCAGAAGATCTGCATATGGAGCTGGTGGCTGTGGTGCCTGTCTGTAATCCCAGCATGAAGCAAGGGGTGCAAGACAGGAGGATTGTTTACTTTGTGAACAGCCAAGGCTACAGAGTCAAGTGATTCCAAGTGAGCCTAAGCTACATATCCGGACCATGTCCCAAAAGCACAACCACTAAACATACACATGTGCACACGCACACACAAAAATACTTGGATACAGCAGGGCACGGTGGTGTAAGACTGTACCAGCACTTAGGGAGGCAGAGGCTGGTGGATCTCTGTGACTCCGAGGCCAGCCTGCTCTACTTAGACAGGCCAGGCTGTCTAAGTCTAGGACAGCCAAGGACACAAAGAGAAACCATGTCTCTAAAAACAAAACAAAAAAAGAGAAGAAAACAAAAAAGAACCAACTTGGATACTATCACAGATGATTCCATACTTTGGCAAACAGCTTTATGCAGTTTTCCTTATTGTAAATTAAACTCTTCCCCTAAAAAAACCACAGTCAAGACACTCACTTTAGCTACTGCCTTTAATTACAGTTTTTACTTTAAGATACTATAACTAGGTCCAAAATAAAATAAAAGGTACATACTCGGCCTCCAAGGAACTTGAAATCAAGATATAGATTCAATAATCATCTTAAGAGATAATAGGAAACTTCGAACCATAGAGTGTAGAGGAAAAAGGAGGTTGCATATAAACTTGGTATTTACAGGATGTAAAGGAGTGAAATCCACTAACAAAGGATCAAAAAGTGGGGGGAGCTATTCCCAACACAAAGGGAGCAGTATGAAAAGGGTCCAAAGAGGAAATGCACACAGTCCTGCACGGGCAGAGTCCTCGATGCGCGCAGCACTCCACTGCAAACAAGACCAAGGCTATGCATGTGTCTAAGGGGAGGTCCCGTGGTTAACAGAGAATCCTAGAGGTATGAGCCAAAAAGCTTAGTATTACTGTTCTTCATTCACTAGACTGCTGCCATCTACCATGGAGAAAGAATAGCTAATTTTGGACTTAATGCCAACAGCACACAGAACTGCTTTTACTTTTCAGTTTTTTGAGAAAAGATCTCTATAGATCAGGCAAGTTCTATTCCTGTGATAAAGTAACAGGACTAAAACCAGCGTATAGAACGAAGAGTATATTTCTGGCTTCCAGCTTCAGAGAAAAAAATCTATACTGGTGGAGGAAACATGAGAGCAGGCAGCTGGAACAGAAGGCTGAGAAAGCTTATCATCAACCACACGAAGAAAGCAAAGCAAACTGAGTAGGGGGACTATGAACTCCCAAAGCCTGCTACCACTGACGTGCTTCCGCCAGCAAGGCTCCACCTCCTAAAGGTTCTAAAACTTCCTCAAACAGCACCACCAAATGGATTCAAACCACCACCCCGGCTTTGAAGATATAATCATCCTGATTCAACATCCACAGCGCTGAGGTTCAAGTGTAAGCCACCATGCCCCAGCTAAATGTATAAATTTATCAGAAATATATAAACACACACACACACTCTTGTCCCTCGCTGCCTGCCCCACACGCTCTGAATGACATCTACTGCCTGACAACTAGCCTTCTGTCAGATCTTGTCTCTGTATGTTAACTCTGTCATCAAAACTCAGGAAACAGTACCAACCTATTGCCACTTGGATATTGTACTACAATGTCATGATCTTCATCAATGCCACAAACAGTTCCAGTTGTAGTTAAAGTCTCAAACATCCCATCAGTCCATCCTCCGTGACCATGCTGCAGAGACTGTACAATTTCTAGGTCAAGGTCTATATTGACTAGGTCACCAATCTGCAATCCACCAGGATTCCTGTTGCCGTTCTGCTCACCTGTAATTTCAAACACAATTAATGAAAGGAAAGAAAAAAAAAAAAGAAAGAAAGACAGTTACTGCATTATGCAATTGCACTCATATGATCACTACCTGGCTATCTTGACTAGGTAGAGGTTGTACTGGCTGGTTTTGTGTGTCAACTTGACACAAGTTAGAGTCATCAGAGAGGAAGGAGCCTTAGTTGAGTAAATGCCTCCAGAGACCCAGTGGTAAGGCATTTTCTCAATTGGTGATCAATGGTGGGTGGGGAGGCCAGCCCATGGTGGGTGGTGACAATCCTGGACTGGCAGTCCTGGGTTCCGTAAGAATGCAGACTAAGCAAGTCATGTAGAAGAGCAAGCCAGTAAACAACACCCTTCAATGGCTTAAGCATCGGTCCCTGCCTCCAGGATTCCGTCCTGTTTGAGTTCTTGTACTGACTTCCTCCAAAGATGAACTATGATCTGGAAGTGTACATTCCTCTCCAACTTGATTTTTTTTTAAGATTTATTTATTTATTATGTATACAGTGTCCTGTCTGCATGTACACCTGCATACCAGAAGAGGGCACCAGATCTCATTATAGATGGTTGTGAGCCACCATGTGGTTGCTGGGAATTGAACTCAGGACCTCTGAAGGAACAACCAGTGCTCTTAACCTCTGAGAAATCTCTCCAGCCACCCTCAATTTGTTTTTGATCATGGTGTTTCATCACGGCAATAGAAGCCCTAAGTAAGACAAAGGTCTATGTTAAATTTCCATTTCTTTTTTTTTATCTTCTCTAATCAGTTGTGATGCTTTTGAATAAGAGTCTATTCTTTACTTTTAGTTTACCCCATTTATTGACTAACAATTATTTATGGTATTTCCTTAAAACCTTTTTATAATAGTTTGTTTTTTAAATGACACATAATAACTGTACATATGCATGGATATACTATATTTTAATAGATACATACAATGAATAATGAACAATAAGGATAATAAGTATATCCATTACCTCAAGTATGTACCCTTTGTGATAAAACATTGCAAATTCTCTCTTTTAGCTATTTTGAGATGCAAAACAGACATTCCTGTTCACTAAAGTCACCATGCTGTGCTACAAGACCCCAGAACTAATTGTAACTATGTAAGTACAAGAATTTAGAACTGCATTTGCAAATACAGAAAAGGTAAACAAATATTCACTCAAAAGCTATACTAACGTGGGCCAGAGTGCACCTTTTATCAGGCAGGTAAGAGGAACTGGGCTCAGTCCTCAGAACCACAAAAAAAGTAATAAATAAATAAATAAATAAATAAATAAATAAATAAATAAATAAATAAGTGAATAAATGAATAAATAAGTGGAAGCGAGATCTATGAAAGACCATCAATCCTAAATCATAATACAGTATTCTGGGGGATGCTTAGGTGATTCACTGACTAGCACTGTACCAGAGCTGTGGTAACCACAGTAAACAAATTCAGAGTGTAAAGGGGAAACCAGGATTTCTGCCTCAAAGGTGCTTATTATTTTTAACAAACAAAAGCTGCATTTTTGAGTAGGGGGTGCAGACATGGGATACAAAAGGCAGGCGGGTAGACAGAGAGAGAGTGGGATGTGGCCAGGCCAATCTTGCTGCTAGGGAAGAGCCAGCGGCTGGGCAGCCCCAGGGCGTGAGGCCGGGCTGAGCCAAGGCAGACAGCAGGCCCGCAGAGGGCCTGCGTTGGCTGCTCTGGGCCAGGTAGTGGTAGCACAGGGCCCCGGAGTCTACTTCCAGGGTCCCTGTGGGGCCGCAGGTGAAAGCCCGGGGTGGGAAGGGTCAAATACGACTGCAAGGAGCTGTGGAAGAGCCTTAACCTGGAGGAGTGGATCTGAGAACACTCACACATCTGCCAGGAAGAGATCCCAGAGCTCGGGATGGACGTGGATGAGCTCTTGGACATGGAAAGTACGGATATCAGGGCCGTTGGAGTCAAGGAGCTATTCGTTGACTGTTACAAAGCCACTGAGGCCTTCATCTCTGGCCTGCTGGACAAGATCCAGGGCATGCAGAAGCTGAGCACACCCCAGAAGAAGTAACAGTACTGACTCAGACGGCCGTGGCTCTCACAGGACAATCGCTAACCCCCAGCCTCTTGGCAACAGCAATACCGGGGGACCCTGCAGCCAGGCCTGGTGCCCTGTGCAGGGATCCCTATGCCCTTGCCTAGGGGCCACTTCCCTTGCCCTCAGTTTTCCATTTTGGGGGCTTTTTATTGTTATTAAGCCGATGGGGCTTTTTGTATTTTTACAGTGACTGTGGCACAGGCCCTCTAAAAATAAAGCTAGAATATGCCTTTGGAGGAACAAAAAAAAAAAAAAAAAAAAAAAATCTGCATTTTTATCTAAGCCCAATTAAAAATAAAGATTCTGGGACAAAGATTTCTGAGGGGCAGAAATATTCATGTTGAGTCTATACTTTTCCTATAAAGGCAAAAAAAGAAAGTAAGAAAATAAGAGCTCACCAAAAGCATGTGTATTTTCCTACATACTCCTTTAAAAAGAAATGAAAGTATGCTTAAGGAAAATAGCACTTTTTGACAAAAAGGTAAGTCAAGCAATTCAGAAAGAGCAAATGCACTGAGGATAGCGAAAGACAGAGGGCTCATCACAGCAACATGGCAACAATAATGAATTTGTAAACAAAAGCAGTTTGAGGTTTTGTTACCATTTAAAAACAAATTTATGTTACTTGGAATTCTATTTCCTATATTACCTTGATCTTAGAGCTGATCTTTTACTGAGAAATTAGTTTAGCAGTGCAAGGTACTTATAAGTACTAAACTGCTCAATTCTTTGCTCAGCAGTGTGAGATACGCACACTGATATAATCTAATACAAAATTCCCAGTAGTGTAAGTTAAAAGTGTATTAAACATGCTGGGCAGTGGTGGTACCTTTAGTGGTGGTGCCTTTAGTCCCAGCACGAGGGAAGAAGAGGCAGATAGATCTCTGTGAGTTCAAGGCCAGCCTGGTCTACAAAGCAAGTCCAGGACAGCCAGGGCTACACAGAGAAATCCTGTCTCAAAAAACCAAAAACAACAACAACAAAAACTAATACACATTATGACACAAATAGTACATCAATTCACAAGACATGATAACTCATTCTGAGCTTAAATAAAACATAGTTTTTCAAAACTAAAATGAAACTAAATATTTCTCTATATAACTAATTATAATCAAATTTTTTTTCCTGTTCAACTTAGACATGATAATGATTCTATAAACTTGTCTCATTATTTGGAAATTTTCTTTAATCCACTAACTCACCTAGCACAGGGCAATGATCTCTGTAGAAAGAACCTCCTTTGGCGTCCTGGACACACTTCAGATCAGACTAAGGAAAAAAACCAGAAGTACCCATTAAATCCTGATGGTGCAGTGCCTGGAGCAGGTGAGCTCCGCTCAGCACACACAGCAGACGTAGTGCTGGTGGGCAGCCACACCCAACTCTGCTCAGAAACATCTTAGACCAGAAAACTGTTTTCTGAAAGACCTTGCTTACCTCCAGCTAGCTAACTGTAAAGTTCAAATATAACACTGAACCTTCAACATTACAGTATTTTCAAAAGCACATGGCAAGAAATATTAAGTGTTACCTAGCATTTCAGGTATGCACAATACACTGAAATACCTTTACCCACATAAACCAAAAATCTCACTACATTTGATCCTTTCAAATAAGCTTACTAAAGATACAAGGCAAATACAAGTAAGAAGAGAAATTATGAAAAACCAAGAAGCCTGCAGGAGCAGAAAAAAATGGAACCAAGCCCAGCCTCTAATCCTTTGTAGTTAATTCCCTACTTATCTGATTTATTAAGTTTCTTCCCACTTATTTTTATAAGAAAACATATTCTTGGGACTGGAAAAATGGCTCAGAGGTTAAAAGCACTGGTAGCTCTTTCAGAGGTCCTGAGTTCAATTCCCAGCAAACACGTGGTGGCTCACAACCATCCATACTGAGATCTGGTGCCCTCTTCTGGTGTGCAAGCAGAACAGTGTATACATAATAAATAAATAAAAATGTTTAAAAAGAAAACATATTCTTACTTAAGTACCTGAATGAGAAGACACCCATGGTTACATGTTGCAAGAAATATGGACATTAAGGCAATCTTACGAGTCACTCATGAAATTTTGAAAGAACAAACAAACAAACAAACAGCTACACTAAGAGTAGCTGCTGTGTACAGATGACCGGCACACACAGAACCCAACTCGGTAACAGCCCATCTTGCCACTAAACATGAAATGCCACTCAACCCAGACCCAGACAGCGGCTCTCACTACTTTAATATACTACCTCGAGGAATCTATCCTAAGGAAATATGGCCATAATAAACAAATACATCTGTAAGCATACTGGCCACAACCCTGCTTGCAACAGTGAAGAAGGAAAGGTAACCCTCAAAAGACATCTCATTAAATAATGGCATTAACCACAAAAGTCATCAACCTGTATTTGTTCTTCATTTGACTACTTGAACCCACACAGTGTATACATCTTCAAATGAAACAAATAGCCAGCTGCAATCCTAAAAAACTCACAATTCGAAAGCATGGAGAAGCATCTGAGTCATGAATACACAGTAGAAAAGGAAATTAACTGACCCTACAAATGACAACATTTGTCACTAATAAAGCAATTATTTATTATTTATTATTAATAAATAATAAAATGATAAAATTTGTCATTAATAAAGCATTTGCTAGCCAGGTGGTAGTGGTGGTGGTGATGGTGGCAATGGCAACAGCAGCAGTACATGCCTTTAATCCCAGCACTTGGGAGGCAAAAGAAGATGGATATCTGAGTTCAAGACCAGCCTAGTCTACAGAAGAAGTTCCAGGACAAGCAGGTGACAAAGAAACCCTGTCTCAAAAAAAACCAAAAAATAAAAAAAATAAAGCATTTGCCTACATTCACCTTGCTCTCATCCATAAACAAAATATATTAAAGAGACAACTGGCTGTTTCTCTGCTTTCCTAGTGTAAGGCAAAGACAGCTTAGAAAAGAGTGAAACAAAGAGCCCTCCGGGCTGGGTGTAGTTCAGTACTAGGGCACTTGCCTAGCATGCACAGTGCTCCAGTACTCCAACTAAAATATGGTAACAATAGTAATAACAGCAGCAGCTTAAACAGGAATAGATTCAGAACTGCAAGGCTATTATAAAAATTTCTATTTCAGAATTTAAAAAAAGTACAGTCAGGCCAGATATGGCGTCCACACCTATAACGCCTGCGTTCAAGAGGCAGAGACTGGCAGACCTCTGTGAGTTCAAGGCTAGTCTTATATACACAGCAAGCTCCAGGCCAGCCAGAGCTACACAGTGAGAACCTGTCACAAAATAAACAGTAAAATAGTCAGTATTTAAATAATGGTTCATGAAATATAAAAATATAAAACAATCTGTTGACTAAACTTACATTATTCTCCACTTAGTTCTAATGTTTCCAAGTCTATTACTTTCTTGCTTTATCTTGGCTGGTTTGGTTTTGTTTTTTGTTTGTTTGTTGTTGTTGTTTTTTTTTTTCCATTTTTTAAGACAGAGTCTCATTATATGCCCAATATGGCCTTGAACTTGAGCTCATCCTGCCTCCAACTCTGGAGTGATGGGATCACATGTGCCACAAGATAATCACATTTAATCATCAATTCTGAACAACAGCAACAAAAAACTACAAGAAAAAAACTTCCTTTAAAAATAGTTTATACTTTTTATCAGCTAGAATACAAAAACAATCTCATTTTACTGCTAGTCTCCAGGTCTACTCCAAGGAGTAGTCACAGGTCATCCTCATTTTTTAAGTCCAAAGGGATCTGTGTAGAATAAGACACAGTAAGGTGCCCTCCACTTCCTACGGCCAGGGCACATTCACTACTAAGCACCTTAAACAAACAGAGCTTGGGTCAGGTCTGAAGGGCCAAAACTCTCACTTTGAAGATCTCCTTTCCTACTACACATTCTTGGCTCAGATGCATCTCCTAAAGAAGAGTGCGCACAGCGTGGGCTGCCAGCTCCCACCCCGAGCTGCCCCGCGGTCACAGGTCCCTCTTTACTGCTCACCATGCCCTCAAAGCCGACTCTGTAGAGGTTCTTAGCACCATTATCCCAGAGAACATACGCTGCACTGTGTGGGCTCGAGGCACTCCAGTCTTGGATTTCCGTTACCTAGTAAAGTTTAGGGTTAAAAGGAAAAAAAAAAAAAAATTTAAAAAAAAAGGAAGGTTAGATACCTTAAGTATACTGAAATTTTAAAAATCTTTTCATCTATCAACCTATATATCAAAATCAAGAAAAATACTTATTTGCCAAATATTTAGCATTGTTCAATTATCAGTAAAGCCCTATTTTTCCAGAATTATAACTGTTTTGCTTTGTTAAGATAGAATATCCTCAAGAAGCAGATCCTGGCCTCAAACTCAAAATTCTCCTGCCTCAGCCTCCCAAGGCACAGGACTGCATAATGTATGGACCAACTCATACAAGTGTTTATGTCGCTGTTGCTTCCCTGTGGTACTAAGCCCTGTGCTTTTCTGTATGCTGGGCAAGCACTCTAATGCTGGTCGTAGCCCCAGCCTGACTGAGACAAGCTGTCAGAACACAGCCCAGGGTGACCTCAAAGTTTGTTTTTGCATTACAAGTTCTATCATCATACCTGACGTTACCTGAGAGTCTTGAAGTATATTCTAATAGCATTGTAGACATTTAATTAGGAAGCAAAGGAATTGTATTAATAGATTATCAGAAGATGAATAATGCAAATTTTTAAATCCTTTAAGAACACAGCATATTCTTTTTAGCCAATTACTGAATATATAACTTAGAACCCAAACAATGATAACCCTGTTTATTAGCCAGCTACAAACTGACAAACGCAAAGCCGCAAAGAGTGCCAGTGGCACTGAGGCCCTGTCAAGAAAGCACGCTGCCCAGCTACAGGAGCACGCTGCGGTGGGCACACAGACACAGCACCCACCACAGAACACTGTCCCCGGTTAAACTCTGCCTTGTTCTCTCCCTGTCCTCACTACCCGCCACATGTAAACATGTACCCACACACAGGCACTAGTTGGTTATTGGCACTCTCAGTCCATCTACAGCTGAGAACAGGGAACTGCTGACATACAATTCAAATGATTCCCACCATTCTAACTTTTGTTTGTTGGTTTGTTCAGGGCAGGGTTTCTCTGTGTAGCTCTGGTTGTCCTGGACCTCACTTTGTAGACCAGGATGGCCTCGAACTCAAGATCCCTTGGAACTAGGGACAAGCAGTTGTGAAGTGACTGTGTGGGTGATGGAAACTGAATCCAGATCTTCTACAAGAACATCCAATGTTTATAACCATTAAGCCATCTCTCCAGCCCCCAAAGACGCATTTTATTGATATTTTATTTATTTATCAGTATGAATGAGGTCCTAGGTTCAATCCTTATTACCACAGAAAAGAACATAGATGATGGTTCAGCCAAAGCCAAAAATCTTGGTTTCTTCAACAAATAAATGGCACTTTTAAAAGGCTCATAGTTTTTGAAATTGAGTGATGAATGTCCAGGAATCTGGTATGCTATTCTTTTTACTTGAACATATGATAGAGATTTTTTTTAAGATTTATTTATTTATTATGTATACAATTCTGCCTGCATATATGCCTGAACACCAGAAGAGGGCACCAGATCTACTAGACAGTTGTGAGCCACCATATAGTTGCAGGAAATTGAACTCAGGACCTTTGAAGAACCTCTGAGCCATCTCTTCAGCCCCCTATGATAGAGATTTTTAAAAGAAGGAAAATGACTTAGCATACCTATAAAAATAATTAACCTGCATATTTGTAAAACAAAAATAGCCTTTAAGCATGAGCATGGGTGAAGGTACTTTAGGCCTCCTGTAAGAATGCACAGCACTCCATCAACCTGGGCTACATCAGTCAACAGGAACCAGAGTAGCTAGTGCAGAATAGAAGATGCTAATTCTGTGTTCATGCTCATAAACAAAAAAGTCAAAGCACAACAGTCACATCTGGTCTTAAACATGAGCTTAATTGACTGTCATTCTGAAGACTGTGTCATGAGTACAAAATTATTTTACTCATTTTGTTCTCACTTTGTTCATAAAATATAACTTGTGATAAACTATAACAAACCAAACCTTCTAGTGATAATTCTCAGCTTTAGGAAGGCTGACTTTTATTCCTTTTCCGTATTTCCCCCAAAAGCGCTGACTGGTTAGTGCTCTATTGTTTGCCAGCTTGCTACGAGCTAGAGTCAGCTGGGAAGAAGGCACATTAACAGAGGGGTTGCCTCTATCAAACAACCTGCGGGCAAGCCTGGAAGGCCTTTTCCTGGTTAATTATGAAACAAAAAGTGGGAGGGCCTCGTCCACTATGGGCAGGGCCACCTCTAAGCAGGTGGCCCTGGGACGCATAAACAGCTGAGCAAGTCACAGGAAGCAACATTGCTGCACGGCTCCTCCTTCAGTTCCTGGCGTGGCTCCTGTCCTTGCTCCCCTAGATGGTGGGACGTAAGTAGGATTCAGTAACAATGTCACACACACAACCCCCCCCCAGCTGGCTTTTGTCAGTGTTCTTGTCACAGCAACAAAAAGCAAGCTAGAACAAAAGTAAAATGCAATAAATTCCAATTCTGTGGCTTCAGAGTGCCCCACAGCAACTGTCTTAGAAAGTTGTTTGCAAAAATTACTTCTAATCCTCTGCCTATCTAACTGTGGGGAAAAAAAACAAAATCATTTTTCAGATTAAAATATTAATTTTTTTTCTTACGAAATTTTTAAAGCTGCTCTCTACCAAAAGACAAAGTATGTAAAATACAATGGGACAGAGAACAAAGGACAGAGAGGCACTCAGGAAAAACAGTAATCCATCCAAGGAAGCCTGTGAGATGATGGCTAGGCACCAAGTACATGGGTAATTCACCAGACTATAGACAGATGTGTTAAACAAATTCAAAGCTCTTAGGATCAACATCTGAATTGCTGGGTGCTGGCAGTATAGTCCTCTAATCCCAACATTTGGGAGACAGAGGCAGGCAGATCTCTGTGAAGCTCGAGGCCAGCCTGGTCTGCATAGCAAATTCCAGAATAGCCAAGGCTACACAGAGAAACCCTGTTTCGAAAAACCAAAAGAAAAAGATTTCCCCTGCTGGTGTATTTTGCCGACCTGAGAACGCACTGCCCATTATGCATGACCCACATCTCAAGGGTATCAAGTGTACTGATTGTTTGGACCATGTAATGATGACATTTCCATTTGTCCCTCGGCCATTCATACCAATACCAGCACCAGCTAAGGTGTCTATCTCTTTCTGTCTTCCATACACACACGGGACAGGGGTGGGGGTATATTATGCTTTATCCTATTTATAAAACTACAGTTAGAAGTTCACACAGCAATGCATCTCCTCTGGCATTATTCTTGCCCAGTATCTAGCTCTACTTCTGCCACCTGATATCCTGTGTTGACCTCCTTGTTCCCAGAATTCATGAATGGCTGTGCCTGCTGAAAGCCAGAGGAATCTTAAGTTTTAGAGATGCTGAAAAAAAAACAAGTTACTATAGACTGTTCTGTTCCTATTTTTCTGAGATCCTCATCTAAAAGAAACATTCTGCCTCGCCCTTACAATAAGCTACGTCTATGACTGCTATTTTGCTTTTCAAAATGTAAATAAATACCAATTGCTGTAGGAACAATACTACAGAAAAAGTAATAAAGGAAAACAAACAAAAAAATGTAAACAGAAAATCAGGCTGTTAGATACTTTGGAGGAGGGTTGCAAGTGGGACTGACACAGAGGCTTTTAATGACCTGTACGTGCGTGTGTGCGTGTCTGTGTGTGTGTGTGTGTGTGTGTAGGAGAAGATTTCCAGAAAAATGTAAGGAGAGAAGGGCTGTCCTTGAATGTAGGCGACACAATCCAACAGACTGAAAATCTGGATGAAATAAAGCCCTCCTCCACCCCACTCCCGTCTCTCTCCCTCCCTCCCCATGATAGGACACACACAGACAGCACACTTGGTTTTTTAAGACAGGGTTTCTCTGTGTTTCCCTGGCTGTCCTGGCCCCTGCCTCCCTGCTCATATATGTTTTCTGTACATTTTCTGGTATAGCTGATGCAGGACGACTATGAATTCTACAAAGGTGATCACTGCCAAGGGGCCTTGCAGTGGCAGCTGGCAAGGAGTGTCTTTACATCTGCCCTGACTCAGCAGCCATGCCTCTCTGATGACACACCTACTCGGGAGTACCTTATCCAGATCCATGTTACTCTCTTTTTCTTTGGAAGGAAATGTGTCTCAAATGTTAGTGTGCATGCAAATGAGCGAGGGATCTTCTTAAAATGAGGATCCTGATTTAGAAAGTCTGTAAGGAAATACATTTGTTACTGCTCACTGCAAATGAGATATCAAGCGACACCAATGTGGCTTTTCTATACATTACATCACACAACAAATCAGATTTCAATTTTTTCATTTGCCTGTCTCTGTTCATTAAAAGATACACTTCCGGGCAGTAAGAATTCTTTTTCTTAGTGATGTACCCTTGACGCTTAGAATAAAACCCTGAACATAATGTGTTAAATAAATTTGTTGGATTAAAAAAGAAAAAAGTTTATTTCCTTAATAAAGTATTCAGAAGTATGGTAAAAACACACTTGTCTGGCTTTCAAAAAAAATTTTAAATGCTCTATTATTTAAAGTGAAATCAGTGGTTGGGTATCATGACTTATCTGTCTCCTTTCACCTGGTTTAAGTTAGGGGACGCAGTACTCAGAACTGACCCAAGACTCTGCAACATGGGAGGCAAGTACTCGTCTACCACCATCTACCCTGTGCCCCAAAACAAGCTTTCCAGAGCAGCAGAGGATTCATGGTGACTGTCACGTATGTTTTGAGGCACTACTCATTTCAGAACACTAGACACAGAAGAACATAGTCAATGGTATTTGTTGACAAAATGTATTAATGAGTTATCTGCTAAAAGAATATCAGATCCAAATAACGAACTCAGTCGAATACTGGCCATAAGGAACTCTTGAGAAGAGCTGCTATGGCAGCTGCTCACCTGATCTGGGCAGGTAACAGAGGCCACTGGAACAAGACAGGTTTACAGCTGCCCAGCAGCTAGGAGTGAGCTCCCTGATAGAGCAAAGCCTTTAGTTTAGTCCCCAGAGCGGGAGGGGGAAGGAGGTAGCTGCTTACTCAGTAACAGGCCTTTAAAAGAATAGAGTCTAAACATGTGGATTTAATGTTAATACTTTCCAACAGCTCTGTAAATCAAATCCCAGAACACACTGACACTCTCTCATTGAATTACACCTTCAGCCCCACAGATAAAATTTTAGCAGCAGAAAAATCAAGAACATGAGATACTACTTAGGAAGGACTAGCCCAAAAATGGACTCTTCAGGAAGGCACCTCTGGGCAACAGCAATATGAAGCCTGAAGCAAAACCCACCTGACAGCTTTCTCAAAAAAAAAAAAAAAAAAAAAGGAAGAAATGATGATTTTTAAACTTATTTCTGGCATGGAAATAAATGGGCCAAGACATGTGCTTACAGCAGCAACAGAAACCCTAACACACAGCTGGACGGCGGTGGCACACACCCTTAAACTGGGCACTTGGAGGCAGAGACGGGCGGATCTGAGTTTGAGGACAGCTTGATCTACAGAAGGAATCCCAGGACAACCAGGGCTACACAGAGAAACGGTCTTGAAAAAGCAAAAGCAGAAAGAAACATCAACACTGTAAGTTGTCAAAGCACTGTAAAACACAAGGTGAATTTTAAAGCCCATACCTTTCCTCTACGCCCGTTGCCCCCATCCTGGTCTTCCCACTGCCAGTCAACTCCTCGCACCACTCTGGCACCAGCAGAGATTCCTCTGGCTGTAATCTTCTTAGATTTCCTACGAGACTCTAACAGAACCCTAAAAGTAAAAGTTTTGTTTTCACATTCTTATAAAACTAAGTAATAGTCATTCATACGCAAAAGCATTTGCATGGGTGGGTCCGCTCCTTAGAAGAAAGACAATGCTGAACTGTCCTTTCTATAAACATGGAACTCAAGACATGGAAAAAAAAGTTTTGCTCAGGTTCACAAAAACTTACAAGCAATGGAATGAGAACAGCAATCTAGCACTGCAAGCTATCCCTCTAAGTGTCCTCCGTGAGGCCTATTGAAGACAGAATCTCAGGATGAGCGGCAAACCACACTTGGCTCTGACTTAGTGGCAGCACTCTGGTCACCCAAGAGCATGATCTCTCTACAAAGAACAGTAGATCCTCTGCTTCTGCCAAATGTTGTCAAGAACAGAAAGCTGGGTTCAGAGTGGGAGTGGGGTGTCTTTAAGAATCTGTGAAAGGTGAACAATGAATCAAATACTCAGAGTACTGCATCTATGCCAGAAATATGAATCTGAGGTGCAGGTTTGACTACAGTATACTGTCTCCAGAGTACTGCACACCTCTGAGCATTACAAATCTTGAGAAAGATTTCACTTAATTATCTGAGCCAGCTGCTTTCTCCAAGGCCATCTGCTCCTTACTACATCATTTTCACTCACAGATTTCAAACTTTTGTTTTTTGAATGTTGTATTAACTGTTATGTTCATTAAAAAAAAAAAAAAAAAAAAAAAAACTGTTTCCAGAGTTTGAGTGACAGGACCATAATTTGCAGTGAGATGCTGTGACTCAGAACTCTGTGCTCTACTGCTCCTAACTGTGGCTCCCTAGTTAGCTATCTTCTCGCTCAAGTGTAGCATCCTAGCTACAGAAGACTGTACTACCTAGAACTCCTCAAAGTACTCCTAAGAACATTATCCTACCATAGTCCAAAACATCATATGACAATCATTCATGATCCATCGTTCCTCTTAAATTACAGACTCCTTAAGAAAACTACCTTCAAATCACAAATACAGTAGCTGCCATATATTACTTTCGTGTGCATGCATCTGTGTGGGCAGGTGTGCATGCACATGCAAAGCTCAGAGGCCAATGCTGATGTCCTTCAACCACTTTTCCACATTATTTTTTGAGAGGAGATCTTTCACTAGAGTCTTGAGTTCAATGTTCAGCTAGACAGGCTAGCCAGTACTCCAAGTATCCCCTCTCTGTGTCTTCTCAAGCACTGGGATTACAGAAGTGTGCCAGCATGCCTAAGTCTTCCACGGTGCTGGGTATTCAAATGCAGGTCCCACAGTTGTGCACCGAACACTTCATTATCTGAGCCCTGTCTCCAGTTCCCATCCTGAATACGTAAGCACCTGTTGATTCAACCAGCAGGCCACGGTGCTCACAGAGTGATAATTGACAAAACAAAGGGCGTAACAAGAAAAGGATTCAGTTCTGAGCTGCCTGTGCATTCCCAACTGTTCAACAATAACAAATCTCCATGCTGGAGAGAAAAAATAGCCAAGATTATCTTAGAAAAAATAAACAAATAATAGTTGGAAGTCTGCCTGGTCTACACACTGAGTTTAAGGCCAGCCAGAGCTATACAGTGAGACTATGTCTTTGAAGAAAGGAATGGGGGAGAGAGGGAGGGAGGGAGCAGTGGAGGGAGGGTAGGCGGGCAAGCAGGCAGGCACATATAATGAAATTCTGCCTTCACAGAGTTTCTCACAAATCAACAAGCCCAATCCATGTCCAGCCTGCTATTCATTTCCCCAATACTAAATATAAACTGTCAAAAGCTACTTCCTAATCCTACATTTACAGTTACTAGAATAAAACAAAAAGTCCCGACTGAAGAAAAACTTCTTTCACTTACCGTTCACTTCCTGGCGTAGTAATCCTGTAAAATCGATGCCGTAAGTGATGCTTATCTCCATGATAACAAACAGTGCACAAATCATAATTTGTGCACTCTGCACACTTCCATCGAATGCCAATGATTGGTTGTTGGCGGCAAGTATCGCACATAGTTCCATCATGCTTGATGCCTATGGAGACAGTCACAAGCTTAGGTTACTCTCAAATACTTATTTGCATACTGGTGTGTTGGGAAAAGCCTAACAGCATATTGCAGTTATTTTAACAAAGGACTGGAAAAAAACACAACATATCTCATTTCAAACTGACAAACTTGAAGTACTTTGATCAACATAAATAATAAACTAAACATGTTTTCTAGTCTCATTAGTAAAATACAAACCAATAGCATTTGCCTACCTCTTGTACATACAGGAAAATCTGGGCTTAATGCACAGAATCTTTTCCCACTATCTAAACATTTCTGACTATAAATACTCATAATCAGAGGCTGCAGAGATAACAGTGGTTAAAGCACTGTGAGGACATGAAGACCAGGGTTCAGATGTGCAGAATCCATGTAAACGCCAGGTGGGCTGCCTGCCTGTAATCCCCAGTGCTCAGATGGAGACGAAGGGCAGGCTGGGTAGGCTAGACTATCCTGTATCAGTTGAGCTCTGGATTCAGTTCAGAGATTCTACCCCAATGAATGGAGAGCACACCCAATGCCAACCCTGTGCCTCCACATCCACGTGTGCCCACACACCTGAAGATATGCATGATAGAAACATGCATACACATACATGAAGAAAATAAAAACCCCTAAGGATTGTTTCGGGAACTGTAACCTATTAGCCAGGTAAATGATTAAGCCCCTCCCCAAATGGATTTTTATCATCATGGTATCAATGAAAACAAACCATCGATAAACCTAAGTACTCAGCAGTAAGGGCTTCCCCTCCATAAACACTAAGTTTTAGAAAATAATTAGCTAAGGGTAGGTATGGTGGCACATACTGTAATCTTAGCACTTAAGAGCTAGAGGAAAGGGATCAGGAATTCAATGTCACCCTTAGTTACTCGGCAACTCCCAAGCCACCCTACGCAATACAAGACAGTAAGATGCCTCAGCAACTCAGATGCTTGCCACCAAGCCTGACAACACAGTTCCATCTTCAACACCCACACAGTGAAAGGAGAAAAACAATTCTCACAAGTTGTTTCCTGACCTCCACATACTCTCTACGGCACAGGTGAACCTGCACATGCAACCTAATAAATATTTTAAAAAAAAAAAGGAAAAATTAACACTGGTGCTAAGAGTGGGCTCAGAGGTTAAGAATATAAGGTATGCTTTGGACGAGGCATAATTTGAGTCCCATCACATATGCCAGCAGCTCACAGCCACCTGCACCTCCAACTACGGGGGATTGAGAGTCCTTTTCTGGACTCTGTAGGGCATGAGCACACATAACAGCACACTCCACACACATGAACACACAATTAAAAATCTAAAAAAAAAAGGATTACCAATCAAATTTCTATGTTAAATGGAAAACAACACACTACGGTGCGTGCTCCTCCCTCCAACTTGTAACCTCCCTCAGACTGCTCACATAAGCAGGAAACAGACACTGAAAGAAAGCAGGACAAATTATTGAAAGAAACTTTCAGACTGGGGGCAATTCTCCTTTATTGTCCTGTGACACTATCACTGCTCAATCAACTGAAAAGCAGAATTTTTTTATGTGATGTGTGGCTTATGACACCAGTGTCACCACTTTACAAGCACATCCTAACAGCTGAGCTCACTTGGGGCTAAACGCTAACTCACGCTATTTAGGAAGTTATTGTAACTCACGTATTTGCACATATGCACACACAAGTACAAAAGACTGCAATGTACACGTTAAAAAAGTTCTGAATGAGTTAGTAGACACTGATGACCACTGTCTTTTTTGTTATAGTCAAAGATCTGGAAAGTAGGCGACTGAGGGGTTGTGCATAAAACATTTGATATTGTCATGTCACACATTTCTAAATAATTAGAGGCAGGCAGAGAAGGCGGGCTTTAGATGAACTATGACTAGCCATGCTAAAGACGCCTGGTGGATAACATGAAGATCTCTCAGTCTGTATTTGGTCTAACTTAGGGAACTTTCCATAATTAAAGAAAAGAAAGGAGGTCTTTTCACTCTGAAAGCTTTGGCCTCCTTTGGAGAAAGCACAGTGTTCTTTAGCGGAGAGGCAGCATGTTCCAAAACTCCAAGAATGTGCTGTGTATGCAGGATCTAGGGTAAAAATAGTAATATTGTTACCAAGGTCTGAAAGAACTAGTGACTATTGCTACTCCCTGAAAAAAACTGTGTAATTCATTTTCTACATCCAGAGAACCAGATTCCAAACAAGGAGCTAAACTCAAATACATACCTGTGTTTGAGCCAAAGTTGGGAGAAAATGGAAGGAGAAAACACACACTAACAGTTCACTGGCGTGGCTACTGGACATCAAATGTTTTGTGCACAACCCCTCAGTCTCCTACTTTGCAAATCTTTGACTATAACAGAAAAGGCAGTGGACAGCAATGTCTAACTCATTCAGAATTTTTTAACCGTGTGCATGTGTGTATGCATGCTTAGGGAGGCCAGAAGGAAAGTTGAGGTATCAACCTCAGGAATATCATCCATTTCCTTTGAGACAAGGTCTCTCATGGGCCTGGAGCTCACCAATTAGGCCAGACTCATTAGCCAGTAAGCCCCAGGAATACTCCTGTCTCTGGGATTACAAGCACTCTGCCATGCCATTTTAATATGGCTTCCAGACTGAATTCAGGCACTCATGCTTGAGAGGAAAGTTCTTCACTGACTGTGGTAGTTCTGAATGAAAATGGTTCCCATAGGCTCTTAAGGAGTGACATTATTTGAAAGAATCTGGACATGTGGCCTTGTTGAAGGAAGTGTGTCACTAGGGGTGAGTTTGAGGTCTCAGAAGCTCAAGCCAGGCCCAAAAGGGCTCATTCTCTCTCCTCCTGCCGCCTGTTGATCTAGATAAAGAACTCTCTGCTCCTTCTCCAGCATCACGTCTGCCCATGTGCTGCCATGCTTCCCCCATGACAATAATGGACTACACTTCGGAACCTGTAAGCCAACTCCAATTAAATGTTTTCCTTTATAAGAGTTGCCATGGTCACAGTGTCTCTTCACAGCAACAGAAACCCTCAAACACTGACTGAGGTAATTCCCACCACCCCTTATTTATTTGTTTGTTTGTTTGTTTATTCATTCATTGATTTATTTATTTTACTCCTAGAAGAGGCAGGAAGGGATTCAAATATCACTCTAAAATATCAAGAGGTGGCAGAATTCCTGCACTTCAATTACAGAGGCAGAAGGATTGAATTCAAGGGCAGTCCTGGCTTCATTGAGAGACCTTATCTCGAAAACAAACAAAAAAAGGAAAGAAAAAAAGAAAAGAGAAGTGAGAAAAGGAAGGGAGCTGTCAACCAAAACCTAGTAATAACGTTCTAGTTAGAGCTGAGGACCCGCTGTGGCAGCAGGGCATGCAGTATCCATGCAGCCAACCGTCAGCACCAAAACAAACCACAGTGAGTAAGGGAAGAGCTCCACAGAAATGGCAGGTAGAACTCTCAAAGAAAAGGAGAACTCACACAAGAGCAAGCGCAAAAGGCGTCATACTTTAGCAGGGCTATAACATAGAATCAGAGCTTGGAGATTAAGTACAGAGTTAGACTAGGAACTGACAAGTTCAGACATAGATTATATTAAATGACAAAAACCTAATTCTATAATATACTACTTGCACAAAATATCAGTTTAAACTATGCTAGGTCCAAACGATGCTATCATCACCTGAAAAAACACTTACTACTGAATCTCAAGTTTTTCCTCAAAGCTCTGGTATTCCAGATACCTCTATCTTCCTAGTTCCTTTCCAATGTTTTCACTCCAAAGCTGCCACGGAATACAGCATCCTCCACCCACCACTCCCCACCAGTTAATCACAACCCTTAAGAAAAGTACAACTCTATCGATCATGAAAGTTACAAGGAAATTATCCCCCATCTAAGTGGAAAGAAACTGAAACTGAAAAGCACTGCTACTCAACTTACACCTATCAGTATGCACATCACTACATGCTTCAGCCACTGGGTTTACACCACAGGGCCGAACTGCACCCATCACCTACTTCTCCCATCTGTTATCATAAAGGGACACACAGCAAAAGGCTCTTTTTCTTTAATTACAGAATGACTGGGGGGGTGGGAGCACACAAATAATCCTCAAACCAGACAAAATTATTTCTAATCATCCCTTAGATTATTAAGAATCCATTATACTATACTATATTTTAAATCTCCATATAATCAATGGTATATAATGTTCATTTTATAACAATAATTCTGTAATTCTATTATCATTACTACCAAAAGTTCACAGAGTGAAAACACGTTCTCTCTCAAGTTTTATCAGTAAATTCTGAAGTTCATCAATGATAAATATTTTTGAAGGAAGAGTCAAAATTATCTGATACAAGACAATAAAAATGATCATTTTCCTAAAATAGAAATTCTTATAGAAATGCCAAGAATCACAACATATTTTATGAATTTTTTAAAAATACAAAGGAGCCTGTGAGATGGCTGGGTGCGTAAAGGTGCTTGCCAACAGGGCTGATGACATCACTAAGTTAGGTCAGTGGAACTCACATAGTTGAAACAGAGAACCAACTCCCAATAACTTGTCCTTTGCCCTCCATACATACAAAAAAGTGTTTAAAAAAAAAAAAAAGCAAAACTCACAGATTTTAATACTGAAATCAGTGTACTCTGTTTTAGACATGCAGTATAGTACTTACATTCCTAAAAGGCTGAAGAGTGTTTTTTGAAAGAAGGGACTGTGACAACGTGCATTTTCACAAACAGCCCCACTGATCTAGACCTCATCTCATGTGCTCTCAGTAGCAGACACTGACACTGCACTATGGAAAAGTGGGGTCCACTTCCCTCCCCAGAAACAACAATGTGTACTTTCTGATGGTAGGCCGTGAAAACCTTTGCAAATGGCAGCCGGCAGCCCCTGTCTGGTTGCTCTCACTTCCTCCTGAAGCTCAAGCCAGGCCTGGTTGCAGCACAGGGACAACACTACAGAGAAATACCTAAGAGTCCCTGGCT